GTACAAAATAAGGGTGGTCTCTACACTTGCATGATCTTGCTTGGTTGTTGTTTGAACATGGTTGTGCATGGTGCCTGTTCCACTACTAGCCGGATCGGAGCCCGCGACAATCCTTGCCTCTCACTTCGACATGGACATCGATGATTCGAAGCAGCACCCATGGCTCGAATATTCGGTCTGGCAGGAACAGGAGTGGGTGCGGATATACACTCCCGGACAGCCTCAACGATGGCACCGCGGTGACGCCGTACCTGATCTACCTGAGAATTCTTTTCGGGAATGGCAGCGGGTGACTGATCCCAATGAGCCGGTCCAGGCATGGGACATCCGTGACTGGCAACATCAAGGGTACCAGCGCATTCTGTCTCGGATTGAGTCCTTCGCAACTCATTATCCGCATGATCAATCTCTTGGTCAAGTTCAGGACTCCGATGCCGTTCCAGTTGAGGAGACGTTCACCTACGCCACTCCTTTTTCTCATGGTGATCGCCAGGCTGCTTCGCAAATCGCTTCAGTCCTCTATGGCGACACTCGCAACGCTCAACGTGGTGATCTCTCGTTCCCGTCTTCTGAGCGGTTTAGGGCTGTGTCTCGCTCCCCTCGCCGTGGTGGATATTTTGGTCAACGATAGAGATTCGAGTTGGAGCATGTGATCTTCCTGGAGAAAAGAGAAACCTCGCCCCTCGTAGAGGGGCGTGTGTGTGCGGAGTGGCAGAAAACCCTGCCACCAAAACCTTTTTCTGTTGCAGCAGGGGGCAACGGACACTCTGGGTCGCGTTGCCCAACGAAGACCGTCCAGAGTTGTCGTGAAGCAACACGGGACGCCGTGCTGTGTACCTGCAACATTTGCGTGATTCTGAAAGTCTATTTGGCCCCTTGGTTGCGGCGCTGTTTGTGCTTCTTGTTCTTTCGGGTAACGTTTTCGCCTCTAGAGGGAAGCCGAGTGCTTCGCGAGTCGAAACTCATCCTACTCGAGACTTGTCAGTTGTACTCGAGACTCATCAGTTGTACTCGAAAGATTAGCACTCTCCATCTGGAGTTCAAGTGTGTGTGTTTGTGTGTTTGTGTTTCTTTGGGGGTAATTACCCTTTCCAGGATTTGTGAATACCCTTCAGTCATAGCTCTGAACGCTGGGCATGGCTGGCAACATCGGAAAAGCGCAAAAGGGGATTGTTAATGCCCAAATCACGAGCACACGCAAAAATTGAGGTAAGACATGCATCTACAATTCACGACATGAAACTGCCGATGACAGTGCGAATCTCCGACTGCAAAAAGAGCTGCCCTTATCAATCCACATTTACTCAGATGCCCAGTGGCCAATGGAAAAAAGGGCACCCTTTTTGGGTTGGTTCACTTTAAAGGGACACCCTTCCCCAAAAAAAGGAAAAAGGGCACCACTGGGCAACTGGGCTTAGAAAGCTGCGCATCGGGGCCTGATCTGAAGCTTCCTAGAGGATTCAATGGAACGCCGAGCAACTTCATTTGCAGCCTCGCCATGTTTTCACGAGGAAGTTCTTAACCACGAACTCAAAGCTGCTGTCTTCTCCCTTACCCGCAGGATTTATACAAATTGGGAGTATGATATTCGGAATTCCCAGAATGCCAGACAGTGAAATCAACGTAGCAGCCAAAGGCATGTCACGAAAGTGTGTTTAAACGCTGCAGCATTGAAATGTATGCTCTTCTTTCCCGCTGCCAATGCAGCATTTGAGCACATGCTTTCCCCACATCATTGTGTCTTTTCTTGGAATTAGACCCCCCTTCTTGTGGATTTCAAAGGAGACCAATAAGAAACACTCCATTTTGGGGTGGCCCTTAAGAAACAAAACACATTTTACGGCTTTTCTTGGAGTTATACCCCGTTTTTGTGGATTTAAAAGCAATCCAACAAGAAACGCTCCATTTTAGGGTGCCCCCCAAGAAAAAAAACAAACAAATACCCCCCCTTTTTACCGATTTGAAAGGAAACCAACAAGAAACCACTCCATTTTGGGGTGCCCCCCAAGGAAAAAAAACATCTTTATACCCCCTTTTTACCGGTTTAAACTAAATGGAAACCAACAAGAAAACACTCCAAAATGGGGTCCCATGCTTCGGCTCAGCAGCTCTTACGGCCAGACTTCGCCATGGTGCTCCTCGGCAGACGGACGGAGTTCGAGGGACTCCGAACCGAACCCCTTTTGGCTTGCTGGTCGAGGGAAATCAAACGGGGCATGGCTCGGAAACCCCAAAAAAAAGCGGGAAAAGATGAAGAGCACCACTGGAGGTCTAGAATCATAGGCTATGATCACTCTTGGCAAAATAGATGGGTCGCCCTGGCCAATGCTTTATAAAACCCATCTAATCCGGTGGAACCCATCGATTTCTGACCAACCTCACCTAAGGACACCTATGCCTGGCAAACATATCGACCTCAAGGCCGCCGAAGACCAAAACGGCGGCCGGGTGGCTTCCGTTGAGCTGGCTTGCTGGCGAGACCGGGCCCTGCAAAGAAACAACTGGTGGTCCACTGCGGGAAATCCATTTCAAACAAAGAGCTAAAGTCCGAAGATGAAATAGCCACAAAGGGTGGTGTCTTCTCCTTCGAAGCATGGCGTGTTGGACCTCTTGGGCTTATTCAACCCGCTAATCTCAGCGCAAGTGTAGGCTCTGCACTCAATCAGAAGTGAACTGCTCTTTCTCCTGATGGCTGTGGGTCAAAACCAATGGTACCATTTTGGGGTAGGTGCGTTGAGTCTATTTTAGTGGGGATTGGGATGTTCACTGGGAGTATGGCCATGTGTCGCTTTCCACAAGCATGATTAAGCTGCGCCTATACCTGCCAACACCCCAGACCCAAGCACACACAAGCAAGTCCACTTGGACGAATCAAGGCTCAGCTGACAATTTGGCAATTTTGTTGATTTGCACGGCCTTTAGTCAGCTAGCTACTATCGCGACGACTTATTCACTCAGCCTTTGAGAGGTGCTTTGGATTCGCTAGCACCTATGGGTCTGAAAGCCAGCAACATCTCATTGAAATATATATATATATATATATATATATATATATGTACATGCCAAACCTAAAACTAGGCGTGCGAAACCACAACTTGCAAACTACATCAACTCACTCGCAAGGGCCTGGCCTTTACATGCATGACCACTGGGGAGAACCGCTCAACAGAATTGATATGTCCCACACGAGAAATGTTACCCATGGTCATGGCCGGGGGCCTTGAACGGACTACTGATCAAGCCCCATATTGTAGTTTTAAGAGATTTCTGCACCACGCCCCAGGCATCCACATGCTACCATGGTGACATTGGCTGTGGTTGTCAAAACCGTTTTGGTATCCCATTTTGGGGTAGGTGAATTCACCACCCATGTCAGAACCTATTTTAGTGTTCAGTGACCCTGGAAAAAAAGGATTGGGAACCCTTTTTTGGGCTTGGACCATTTTAGTTGGGCAGCCACCAAAAAAAAAAGAAATGGAAAAAGAAACAGGGGGCCACAAAACAACTGAGGTGGTTGGATTGAAAACCGTTCTGATATCCCATTTTGGTTGGCAGGTGAATTCACCCAGGTTAGAACCTATGTTCGTGGTTGGATTGGGTCCCGTTCCCTGGGGGCGAAAAAAAAAACGCCGCTCACCTGAGCATTGAGGGCTGGCTGTCTTGGGCCGCGGGGCACGATGACGTCAGCCCGGTTGAGGCCTGGAGACAACTGAACATTCGGACTTAAGGGGTGGTGGAGAAATACGGGCATACATGTGTGTATATGTACAAAAACAAATATGTGTATATATATATATATATGGTCAGATATATATATATATATATATATATGTAATGAACTGTATATGTACATACAATATGTATATATGTATAATGAACTGTATATGTACATAATATATATATATATAATGAACTTTGTTTGGGGAACCCTTTGGTGGACATTATTCACATGGGGATGTATGTCCACCAACCACTTTCGAGGTGCTTCCCCATTACAATTCATAGCCACTTGCGTCCAGTGGTTTCTGGGGGAAATGCAATTTGTCTTTTAGGTGATTTATAAGCCGAATTGCTCCTAATTCATGTTGGTTGCTGATTTTTAAGCAGACCCGGGTTGCACAATGCCCTGAACGGGCTTCTGAACTCCCAACACATCAATCACATTGTTTGAGTTGGGAGAAATAGTTTAGGTGGAAGACTTGATCACTCTAAGATTTTAAGCATGCAGGATATTTTTTATTTGCGTTTTTGTTTCCTGGAAAAATGAGAAAATATGATAAATTCCCTTTAAAACCAACAGCGGAAAATATAAATATATTTGTTTAAAGCAAAACGAGTGTTCGATCCGCGCGTGAGAGTAGTGGACGAAGTGTGCAGTTCCGCAACGCGCCTCAAGGAACACTGGATCGGGGCAGCGCTCAACAGACTCCGTGCTCCGAAGCATACCACAAGGAAGAAAAGAAGCCTCTGGTCGAAACTGAAGAGGATTCTGGCAAGATGCCGGGCATGACAATTTGAGTCATAATCAAAACCTGGTGTTAACATGGTCCACCCAGAACCAGGTAAAGAATTAAAATGGCGGCTGCACCCATTTATGGTTGGGACTACTCCAAACCGTCATCTACCCGTGTTTTGATTGTGGCTCAACTGAGCTATGTGCTACTGTGGATGGACAAATCCAGCACCACGCTAGGAAACCTAGGGAAACCATTGCGTGTGGGTATTTACAGGGACAGTTTGTCATTCCCGGGTTTCTGACCAGTGGTGAGATATGGCTTCCCAGGCCCACACACCTAGGCTGGAGATAGGACCCCAGCAAAAATGTATTTTTTTGCCTAGGCTGGAGTTAGGACCAGCAAAAAAATATTTTGTTTGCCTGGCTGGTGGAAAACAAGGGGACCCCAAAAAAACAAAAAACGAAAGAAACAAAAACAAGGGGAGCGAATTCTGGGGAAGAAGCCACAGTCTCGCGCGTCTTTCGCGCAGTGAACTTGGCAAGGGGCGAGCATAGCCCTGCATGTCGAGGAAGAGCTCGCTGTAGGCGCGGTTCAACTGTGCCACCAGCAGATTCCTGAGGCGATGAGCCTTTTCAGAGCTGGGACAGCCAAAGTGGTTGGTGGACAAGAATCCATACATGATGTCCGCCACAAAGTCCTCCACCATAAAAAAAGAGGTCGTCTCAAATAAGAGATTCCAATGAAAATGATTGCTACTCACTACGTGCTGTTGACCCCAGATTAATAAACCCGTCCCACTGATGGGGGTGTCACCCACAAAAGTGAAGGATTCCCACTAAAAGCCGGCACCCCCTGCTAATCAACCAGGTGTGTATTCATTTGGGGTCGACATTACATCATACTGTACCTGCGCCATTATCGCCACCTAGGTCCTCCAGTAGAGAGGCACCCTTTTCTCTGTAGTCTATGTTAGTAGGGGAACCCTCCCCCAAAAAAAGGGGTGGGAAAGGGCACCTAGCTGGGGGACCTCGCCACATTCTCGCGAAATCTGTCTGCGAAATTTGGGAGACGTCCTCCTGACGGGGAGACCCTGTTCTCAGATGCCGGAGTACCAGTCATCTTTCTTCAGCGACCTCTGTGCTACTTCGGTGCGTGTACTGTGCTTTTTGAAAAGGGCACCCTTTTTGCAAAGGAAAGGACCATTCTATTCGCCCAGCGCGCCGGGGGGGGGGGGGGAAAAACGACAAAACTCCGATGACTCCGACGCGTCCCTTCGGCGTCCTTGGACACCGTTCGCAACAGGCGAGTTGGTTGCCCGGGGCAATCATCTTCGACCCCATACTCTCCCTGAGTGGATGGCCCAAAAAACGTCCAAACTGTATATCTACCACTCAAAAAGTGAATGGTCTTCCCAAAAAGTTTAAAGTTCATGAACTCAGGAAGTCAGTACTAATCAACCCCTGTTTATCAATAGGGGGATAGGGCCCCCTCCAAAAGTGGTCTGGATTCCACACTAACTTCACTAAGCTCAAGTATTCATAAGCTGGGGGTTGATTGACAGGGGGTCAACATTACCTGAAAGCCCCTCGGTGGACATCAGTTATATGAGGTTTTTTCCCACTGAAAATCCTTGTATCTTCAATGCATCCTTGCAACGATCATCAACATGCCACGAAGATTTCCCGTACGCATTATTCCTGGACACAAACAGCATCTGCACAAATAGCTTACCATATGCAATGGACCTTTCGGGCACTCTGCAAGAACCAGGGGTTCAAATCCCCAGACCACCAATTAGGGGCAACCTACTTGAAGCGACATGTTTCAGATGCAAATGGAAGCCACCTAGCTGAGCGCTGATGATAGATTGGTACCTCGCAAACCCTGGCACAAGACAAGCTACGCAGTCAAAAAAAATCGTCGTCTGAAGCTCCATCACAGTGTTTTCCGCAAATCCCTGAGTGGCTTGAAGGGTCCGAAAGGCCCAAATCTTCTTACCGAGCCGTAAAATCAAAAAAAACTTAGAAACGCTATGCTGCTCCCCGATGCCCTGCTAAAAGTCTCACTTTTAGTATAGCTTAGTTTTTTTTTTTTTTTGAAAGTAGAACCTGCCGCGCGGCGCCAACGAAGAAGCTAAACACCCAAGGAACCGGATGGAACTCGCAACCAAGACACATGGCGTGGCTCAAACAAATGTAACATGGAAGCAACCACTAAAAACTAAAACCTGCGTAAGCCCAGCTCTTTGGGAAAAAACCACAGATCCACATGAAAAGTCGATCTTCCCTCGAAACAAATGGCCATGGGGCAAAATCCAAATCGTACCCCCAGTGAACATCAACCAATCCCCACGATAGACTAAAATGGGTGGTGCACCTACCCCAAAATGGGATCCCATTGGCCTTGACCCACAGCAAAATATCATGACAGGGCGCAGCAGAAAGGCGCCCACCAACACCAGGAAGCTGCAAACCACCAGCATGACCCAAATGCTCTCCTGCGTAATTTCAAGCTCCGCCCAAAAGTCTTGGAAAGACTGGACATGCAAGGCTAACCTTTGAGAAAACAGGACAAAACATGGGTATGTCTCTTCTTCTTCTTTTTTTACGGGGACGCACGCACACAAAATGGTGGTTATCCTTTTGGTCTCCCTTTAACACCTACACAAACAGACACCCCAAGAAATGCTTCCGTGATTGGGGGGTCATAGTTTCGTGGTTGAACCCCAAATGGCCAGCAAAAAGCCTTTCGTGGTTAGGAGTTAGGAGTGGTACGCTTGGGTTAGGAGACTCAGAGGGAATGTGCTGGAAACACCTTTGCGACCTTGACAAAAACTACCCTTCCTCCCACGTTGCCATGGCACCTGACAGTCCCTGCAAGAAAATGATCTTCCAGGTACGCTACCACAAATGGTGAGGAGGGGTAGACCGAGAGGGGAAGAAACAAAGGTCAGATTTGGTCAATTCGCTTTGGGCAAGTGAGTAAAGCAGGCCTCGCGAGCTTACCATCGAAGTCACACCCTTGGTTGAAGGGAAGCCTCAGTTTCTGACAACAAGAGCCAGACAAAGAACCAACATAATGACCCCTAACAGGGATCCTCAAAGGACATAAGGCCATTGGCAAAAGCAAGAAAGCCATGCAACGGACGCATGTGCTCCAAGCCGCGCTTTCTCCACAAAACCTGCTTGTTGAACGGAGTCATGTCGTGTTGTGGCCATGTCGTCTCTTGACCGTGAGCGATCCTGATTCTGGGCTTCCACTGCGCTTGACCATGCCGGATCTTGCACTAGCTCCAGAAGATGAACACGCAAGGTCTGCTTGCCTGCTTGTTCGGCGTCGCTTTTCAGCCTGAACTAGATTCGTTGCCTCAGGAATGGACTGGCTGCATTGCTTCAAAGGTGCAGCCGCCGCCATCACGATCATCATCATCGTCATCCTCATCCTGATCCTCCTCCACCTCCTGATCCTCCTCCTCCTCCTCCTCCTCTCCTCATCATCATCATCATCATCATCATCAGCACCATCATCAGCACCATCATCAGCGCCATCACCATCACCATCAACATCCAAAAAAAAAGCCTCCGTTGCACCGGACGACTTAGCCGGCTGCTTCCGAACCGCCAAGACCGCAACGCCCCATGGCCCGCCTCGATGTCGTAGAACTTCTCCGCCGGAAAGATGCCCAAGCAGATGGACAGCAGGGACATCCCCGCCAGGCCGATCCCTGACTGCGCATCCGAGGATCCCGCGGATCCGGAAAGGTCTGTTTTTTCCTTTTTTCTCGGTAAGGGAAAGTGGTGGAGCACCAAAAGAGCAAAATTGATAAACAGGTAAGTCAAGTCTGTGGTAGGAAAGCAAATCGCACCCTTAACAACAAGGAGCATGTGGAAACCTTACACTTCTCCCATGCGAAATGATATTCGGTAAACACGAACGCGCTTGTTCATACAATGTACACCGGGGTAAACCACCAACCCACCGATGAGGGGGAAGACTTGTCGTTCCCAGGCTTAAACCATTTACCATGATAAATTGCACGGGTGTCACAAATTTTCTATAGCAACAATGTCCGACCTGCTACACTAACATACATATACGGACTCCTCTTTTTACCTTCAACCTTTTCTTTTCCATTCTTCTGCCTTCTTCCCCGCATTTTCGGCGCAGCTCAGCGGCTCGAAGCCCGATCCGGCTCACCCGAGCACACCTGACCACCGCGCGCCCGCCTGCGAAGTCCGGGATCCCGTGCTTCAGGGTGCTGATGGAGGTGGCAAAGGCGAAGATCAGGAAGCACAGGGCCAGCCTCAGTGACTCAGACTGGCCGTGCCGGGCCGTTGGGTTGATCGAACTTTTGGGATCTAAAAAAAATCGGCCACAGCCAGATAGCCAAGTTGCGATCGCTTTTGGTCAGTCAGAATTTCCGATCGGTTTTTGGGGTAAAGCGCATGGGAAACAAAAACGATCGCCACTGGCGATCCAGGCAGTGCCAATAGCCAGGGAAACCCTCTTTAGTGGCAAAAATCCGGGCTGGCATGGACTTGGACTTGCCAATGCACAATTTGATGTTGCCAATTCTAATCTAGCATTGCCAGGAATTGCTCTCATATTCCCAGCACCGTATCTAATACTGCCAAGACTTACTCTAGATACCCAAATGTCAAATAGACCAGCCTTCAAAAGTACCTGAGGCTTTGATCTTGGACATTGACACCCACCTCAAGAGAGCTTGACATTAAATAAAGCGACCCTCGGAACAGTCAGATTAAAGAGGATCAGGGGCTCTTGTGGCGTGACTGTTTGGCCTTGCTTTCTTTTGTTGAGCTATAGGGGATTCATATATACATGAGGGCTCTCAAAGCGGCAAATGCCCTTCTTTGGGCAGGAATTTATACAAACATCGATGGTTTGTGGACCATGTCAACAGGAATTTCTAGATCTAAGATCTTGCACTGGGCGGGGCTACACTCTCGTCCTATGCCCATGGCTCAACCCGAGTGTAAAGTCCCAAAACCATCTGACTCCATCTGGGTGCCGCTCCTGCATTACCAGCTAGACTGAAACCCAGGAATCGGTTTTCCTTTTGGGGGCCCTTTTTGGTCGAAGGCACAGCAACGGGAAACCAGCCATGCTTGGGGATCCCCTAAACGACAAACCCATATTATCAGCATTTGTGCCCGTGTTTTCATCTGTCCATTCCCAAACATTGGACCTAAGGTTGCAAGGACCAAACCAAAGCAAACCAGAAGTCCATGGCCCAAAACCAACCCCAAGCTTCCCACAGCCATGGGCCAAAAGCAACTCGACGTTGTGTTCACCACCACAATGGTCGAAACCCGAAAAAAAAAGTTTCGAGTCCAACTCAGAGAGCTCACCGGACCGAGAGCCCAGTGAGCTCAGTGACTCAAACTGATCCATGTGCCGCATTGGAACGTGGGCGAAGGCTCGGTGCACTTGCAAAAGGAAAAGCAAGAACAAGGGGTAGCCCAAGAAATCTGCGCACCATGCTTCAAGAGTCGCCGCCTGCCCCCACCATGTGGCATTCTTTCCCCTATCCGTCCGCCTCACAAAGGCATCACTTGGATCGAAATCGCTTCTCTCCAAATGTTGGCACAGCCAAGGGTAAAGTTCCCTTTGGTGCCCGTTTGAAAGGTGGACATGGACACCCTTGAAGGGGTTTCCTTCAAAAGGCCTACCCGGGCTTGTGTTTCTTTGAAGGTACCCTCTTTGGGTTTTCCTCTAAGGGAAACCAAAGGGGAAACGCACACCTTAAGGCCCCCCACCCAATTTTGCTCGGAGAGACAAGAAGAGCCCAAGCTCCGCCATGACCCGCAGACACACCAGCACAAAGGCAGAGATCCTCATCGATAGGATGGACAGGTCCGTGATCAGGACCCAGTACAGGAAGGTGTTGAGGCCTGAAAATTTTTGGGTTGGGAAGCCTGAAGAAACTGCAGGGTTTCCATTGCATCTCTACTCTTGGTATGGGCTGGCGAAAAACTGACGGTTTTTTGCAGACACCCAGTAAAAATGGACTGGACCAAAAAACTAAAAACAAAAAAAACATGCCAAGAACAGTGAAGAGCTTGTATTCTCAACAGCCATCCCTGAAAGTAAAAAATCCTCCAAAGATACGAATCCATGTAGCCGCAGCCCAAAGCAGCCCTTTCGGAAAATTCCACAAGGCTGTGGCTCAAAAAAGTGGAAAATGGCGACCCAGGTAAATGGAACCAAAGACCAAAACCCGTGTAACCCACGCTCTTTAATTTGAGCCACACCCACAAGACTCCCGGGCGACAGAACACCCGCAAAAAACTGCACGGTGGAATTTGTTTTTCGCCAGGCCACCGATTGGTTTTTGTCTGCACGTACTGCGATTAGCAGAACTCTACGGGGGGAACCATGTATCTCTCCATGTATCTCCAGTTCAGTTCAGATCTGGATCAAAAAGCTGCGCTAGTGTGTGTGTGTGTGTGTGTGTGTGTGTGTGTGTGTGTGTGTGTGTGTGTGTGTGTGTGTGTGTGTGTGTGTGTGTGTGCAAGTTGTTCTCGTATATCAAGCCAACATCAAAAGCTTGTGTATAGGTAAAATAATATAATGTAGACGTACATGTACATTATAAACAGATCGTGCATAGCTGGAGTAATTTCCGTGTGTATCTATACAGCTTGCTAGCCTTCGAGATTTTTCTTTGACACCTCTGAGAACCATCGGAATTATTGACTGTCGACATGCAGAAATTTGATGCATCACCATTGGCTAGGATATTAGATATCGCAGGCTCAGTTTCCAAAAATCACTCAGTTCTATCCCCCCTAGAGAAGGGTGGGTGGGTCTGGGGTTCTCCAATTCCATTTCTCGAGCCCCCACAGAAAAAAGGGAACCATGACTGGAGATCTCCAGGGGTCAAAACTCCCCCTCCCCAAATTCCGCATTCAAGGGGGTGGGAATGTTCTTCTCACAACTCGAAGCCGCCTGAAGTATAGTTGTTTTGATGTGCAGAATCCATCGCAGTCTGAACTGCCACCAACACGTCGTAAGGTCCTGAGAGACGCTTGACTTACTTCTTCCTGGTGAACTGCCTTCGGCTACGGCTAAGTCCCAGAGGCTAGTCATGATGATGACCATGATGATGATGATGATGATGATGATGATGATGATGATGATGATGATGATGATGATGATGATGATGATGATGATACCGACAACCTCTCAGTTCCGGGACCAAACCGGAGCCGCGTTTTTTTGTTTTTTCTCCCCCGATTTTCAGGATGCCATACGCTTCCAGGCCTGCAACCACTGAGTAGACTTCCTTGTGCCCCGCGGCTTGCGGGCAGTCAGAGCTGAACAAGCCATACCTCAGGCGGGAATGAACCAACAGGGTATTCGCGAACAAAGGAGACCACCAGTTGGATTGTTTAATGGTTTTGGGGTGCCTACGGTGAGCCATCGTCTTGCGACCACCAGTTGGATTGTTTAATGATTTGGGGTGATTCCATTTCTCATTTCTTGCTCAGAGCAAGTGATTGGCCACCCTATTCAACGCTCTCCGTGCCTATGGTGAGTGATCGTCTTGCGCATAGGTGTCCTTTTGGGGCAAATAGATGGCCCTGCTAGATGATTAAACCGCCAGATAAACCAGGAATCGCCATCTATTTTTCGACCAAAACCACCAAAAAGCACACCTACGAAACCCGGTTTTCTCCACACCCAACCAGATTTTGTTGGACCCACAAACCAAAAGGTGAAATGGAGGTCGAACAACTTTGTTGGAAAAACAGGGTCCCCTCAGGCGCGCTCGAGTACCTCCCAAAAAAAAGAGAGCGCACATGGACCCGCAAAGACCCGTGGTGGTTTGTTTGTGGAGGGTTGCGAAATGCAGAAAATCGCACCAGGAAATGAAACCATGGTTGAAGCCATAACGTTTGTCGGTAGTTACAGGGGAGTCAGCAGCCACCGAGATTTCTTGGAAGCTGCAGGATTTTGTCCATCCACAGTAGGGAATACGGCTGGTTGTCAAGCGGCCGACATGGAATTCCTGAGAACCATCCTGAGATTTGCCAGCATAATAAATGGCACCAACACAAAGACTCGCAAACAAAGGCCAGCGCAGGTACACATGCACGGGGCAGTGGCATGATCCACTCATTCCTCGCAAGCGCAGAATTGACAAACCAAACAAACAAACCAACCACACAACAATCTTATACATTTACTGCCTACCTTCATCTTGCTCTCAGTGACCTGGTCTGTCTCTGTTGTGCGAGGGTACCCCTTTCGTGTAGGCTTTGAAAGGAAAGCAAGAGGACAACCAGCTTTTGTGGGGCTAAAAAAAGATACATCCACATGCGGCTGGGCATGGGGTGAGGGTCCCCTATCTTCCACAACATGCCCCCTTCCATGTGCCAAAATGGGTAACTCATTCAAAAGAACTCAAAAGGGTCACGTTTGCAAACCAACGATATGTATATATATATATATATATATATGTTTTCTACTTATTAAAAAAAAGAGAGAGAACAAAAAAAAAAAAAAAAAAACGCCTGCTCAGGGCATCCCCCTCTCTACAAGAATTACCCTCCCTCTCTCCAACATGGCGCCTCACAGGGGGTCCCTTCTAGAGGAAATTGATCTTCCATGTACCTCTCATAGGTGCCATGTTTGTGGGAGGAAGGGTAAACTTAAACATCTAGGTCCTCCAGTAGAGAGGTTGGAATAAGGGTACCTGTTTTCTGTAGCCTATTTTAGTAGGGGAACCCTCCCCCAAAAAAGGGAGAGAACGGGCCTATTGGGGGACCTTGGTAAACCTAAGCATCATTCAAGACGGTATTTCTGAGAAACCAACAAGGGTTGCTTTGCCTAATCACAGTTCAGAATTTGAGCCAGAGCGGCTCTTCCGAGCTCCCTAGGCACCGGAAGATTGGCTCTTCGATGCACATGATGATCCTTGGGACCGGACGTGGGTTGGAAGATGCATGGATCTCCGGAAATTTCTATGGGCATACAAAGGGCGCATTCAGATGCTCACCCGGGCGTGGTTTGCAGGCTGGTCCTTTTGGCATATCTTTCAAAGGAAACACGAGGTTTCAGAGACTGAAAAAATCACTTTGAGAACCCCCCCCCCCCGTGTGTGTGTGTGTGTGTGTGTGTGTGTGTGTCTGTATGTCTGTGTGTGTGTCTTTGTGTCTCTGTGTGTTTCTGTGCTTTTAGGGCGCCCCTTTTTTAGGGGGCTTGTTGCAGGGGAAACCAGCAAGAAATCAACAAGCCATTATTGGGACCCTCCCCCCCCATTTTGGCGCATCCCCAGAGATTGCCTGTGAGTATTGGCGCGGCCTTTTACACTGTGCAGGAATGTACCTCGGATTGCGGCCTAAGCCCTCCTAATGGTAGACTCTCTGAAATGAACCGGAGCCCGAAAAATTGGGCGTTCATGGTTGATTTATGTCAGCCACCCTTGAGCTGGGAACTAGCAGTTGAAAGATGATACCAGGATTTCAAGCAAAAGGGTTTGGGAAAATGACAAGCTGGCCGTCCCCAACTAAAAGGGTAGAAAGTGGTTAGTAAGCCTGGTGAGATAACCCACTGAACGGAGACTTATAACCATGGCTCTTGTGGGTTTTCGCACCCAGGCGTACTCACCACTTACTAAGTACCCCGCCCCTGTAAGCAGCCAAAATAGTGCCAAGAAGCGGTTTCTCTTCCGAATTTGCCTTCTCGCAAGGATCGGGCTGTGAATATGTCAGGCCTTGACCGGTTCTTTGTTGGTATTTGCAGGGGAATCATAATTTTGGGGTTTCTTGGGTGGTGCAGGATTTCGTCCACCCACAGTATTTTGTTCACAACGCTGCCCTTGGGGCCAAGCACCGCTCAAACTGGGGCCAAGGACCGCATGCAACTCAAAAAGCATGCCATGCTGACACAGCACACGTGTCAGCGAATCTCAATAGCTTGATCACATGTGTACGCATGTCTGAACTGCATGAGGCAATCGTTTGCTGCGAGCCCTTATTGCTTCCAAGGATGATTCGGCAATCCAGGCATGATGCAGAGTGAAATGGTCTTTAATAACCTCAAACAGTTGAGGTTGACTTATGCGGTGCTCTCAATATCTCTGTCTATTAGGGTGTGTCAAAAAATAGGGACACTTGTTTGGACAGTGCTCAAACAAGAGTGAGACGAATACAGTCATCCATTCGTGCCTTCAAATTGCTCAAATTTGGGGGTCCCCAGTTTTGACCATTGCAGATTCCTCGAATCGAAGCTACTATCAGCAATTCAATCGCACATCAAGTTCGATCAAATCGAGTCGACTGTGCTGCCAGGCGTCAGTCCGAAGATCAGGACCAAGTAGCCCGCCTCCTGCAAACCTGAGCTTTGCGGGTCCTGAAGGAGCTTCTCCGCTTCAAACAGTGCCGAAGGGAGTCAAGGGGGAAGGCTTTCAGCATCTAAACAGGATATGTGGGTATAGTGGGACCCTACAAAATACGGGTCCTGCAGTTGGTGTCCCTCTACGCCACAAAACGAGGTAGGTATACTGTGTACACTCATGTATACTCAGAAAACACACACACACACATTGGATCTCCTTTCCTCCGGATACTTGCCTGCTTTCGACATGACATGTTTCTACGGCCTCATTTCTGTGAAAGGTTGCCAAAGGAGCACGTCAAGCGCAAGAAACACATTGAATAAAATTAATAATGATATTGATCATAATAATACTAAAATGACAACTTGGCTCTCAATGGCTCTTCGTTTGGAATGGGCCGAGTTTGGCTTCCTTGAAACAGACCCGCTCAGTGAAGCCAAAGACGCCTCTTTCATAGCTGGATTGCTCCAAGCCCAGAGCAAGAGGTCTAACCCTCATTGGTTTAAGACAAAAGCCAGTAGTTTCCAAAGGTCCTTTTGGGGCGTTTGGGGACACCAATCAACAAGACATTTAGACTTCTAAACGGTTCTGTTGGATCCTTTTGGGGCGATTCAGTCACAAAGACCGCATCGCCACGCTAGGGAGGGAGATAGCTCAATCACATGTCATTTTCACGCCCCACTTAAGGGGGCGATCGGGTACTAACCCACTTGCCATAGCTTTGTGGGTTCTCTCAGCCTGACTATCCACTTGCCTGACGTTGCCTCGATCGCCCCTTTTCCCACAAAATTCCCCTGTGCAGCTGGAGTTGCTGCAGAGACTCTCCGGTACCGGCACGTGATAGATCCTGGACTGATCCGAAGGTCCGCAACTCTCACGTCTGGGTCCAAGCGCGGCATCCAGATTCGAAGCGGTGGTTGAAGCATTCGCCCTCAAAGTCATCTTGAGAACCCTCCAATTGCTCGCCTAAAATTACAACGTCAATCTTCAGGATGATGATAGAAACTGATACAGACATGAATTACATATCTATGGTTGTATCATCCTGTGTACCTCAATTCACTTTACTAATAAGCCTCAAAGGACGGACATGGGAGGACTTGGGGGACCCGGGAGCAGGTTGCACAGAATCAAGCTTCCTAAGACTCATGTAAAGCCGAATCTTCCGCTTCCCAAGACACGTGGAACACCGAATCAAGCTTCCCCCCGAAACTCGGTCGACGATAGCCCGTGATTCGCCACGGGAAGCTTCGGAGAACTTCGGCCCATCCCACTCGGAAGCGCACGCCCAGCGCCTGCGCACGGCGCCCGCCCTCAGATCCATGACGATCGGCTGGATCTGGCCTAAGGCGCGGGCGCTTTCGGTGATCGGAGCTCGAGCCCATGATCCACCCTACCCGGGCCCCTTTCAACTGGGAATGCAAGCCCAAGAAAGAAAGGAAACTGGGTGAGTCATAAAATATGTCACCAACCTGAAATAATCAAGGTGGTTGGGGGGCTACTCCCCACATAAACCACAAAATTTGGGGTGAATTCGGTCGGAGGTCGTCACCAACTTCACCCGGGCCCATGATCCCTACCCTCCCACTTTCACCTACCTGAGCTTCGGGTCCAAACGTTGCCCCGTTTTTGAAGGGGACCCCTCCCTGCCAGGTTCCGGCTGTTCATGGGAGGTACCAATGGAGATCTGCCAGTCCCCCCTCCACCCCCCCCAAAAAAAAATAACAACCGCTAGGTCCTCCACTGGAGAGGTTAGAATAGAGGGAACTGTTTTTCCTTTTTTGTCTGTAGAAACTATTTTAGTAGGGGAACCCTCCCGCTCCCCCTCAAACAAGGCGTGAGAAAGGGCAACTAGCTGGGGGACCTAGACAAGGTGGGGATGGATCGGATCCGAACCTGCACTCTGAACAAACCACCACATTCGGCGGCCCTGTGAGCGTGAAACACGGCAAACCTTTGTTCTGACTGACGTGGGCTTGCACACATGGGTGCGTCTGTTTGGGTACCTAGATAGCCAAGTTGCGATCGCTTTTTCCGTCACTGGTTATTTGGGTAAAGTGCATGGAAAACAACGATCGCAGTTGGCGATCCAGGTACCACCTTTTTGTTGGATTGAAGGGAAACCAGAAGGAAAAGCAATGCCTTTTTCGCCTTTTTTGGGGGCTCCTATGGCTCCTCTAAAAGAGGGACGAGCCACCCACATGGCTGCGGGTTAGAATTGGGTACCCAAAATGGCTTGCCCTGGAAACTGGAACCCGTGACTAAACCTGCGGTCCCCTGCTGGTTTAATTTTGACCCATACCCACATCATGCGAGGCATGTTTTTCAGAGTTCCCTTTGGGTCCCGGTTTCGGAGTTCCGTCGCCCCCGATCGATTCTCGCGACTGGTCCAAGTAGCTCGCGGCCAGGACACACCTCAAGACGCATGCAGCACTGGCGAAGCAAGCGGAGAGAAAAGCCAACGGTCGACATCCTCATTTGTGCTAGTTCTTCTAGGGGTACCTTCCATGTCCATTCTTTCCATGGATCCGGATCTTTCTAGAAAACCTCCGGCAACCCAGGGAAAATAGCGATCGGTTTTTGAAAAAGAACGATGGTTGGAAAGAATGGGGAATCTACCCTTAGAGTTTTGGGTCTCGTTGCATCACATGCATCTCTGTATGTTTCGCTGCTGGGAATGCAAGCCATATGGAAAAAACATATATGTCCAGTAGTGATAGAGTCCAGTTAAAACCAACAAGGAAAAAAACATATATATATATACAAAAAAAAAAAAAAAATAACAGCAAACGGAAGCATGCATATCTGTGTCTTTTGCTGGGAATGCACGCCATAAAAAGAACAGAAATGCAACGCCGAACTGGCCAACTGCGGAACGTCACCGACCAGGAACTGGTCTTCTTGGGGGTCATCCAGTCACCCACCAACAGATTCCTGACCTCATTTTATGATCTCACAAGAGAACACGTAACCCCAAGTAAGCCCCCCTTGCACTGGTGAAGAAGGGGTGTCATTAATATTAATTGAAACAGGCAAGGCCTAACGTGCACTAAAAACAGGTGTCGCTGGATTTCCCCGCAAAAGGTGGCAATTTGCTGGTGGTTTCCACTGAAACTACCACGTTTGGAGGCTCCAGAAAGGGACATCGAGAAAACCTCTACTACCGCAGTGCCTGCAAGAATTGTCCGACAAGAGCCTTTGTTTTTCGGATTTGTCTGGTGTTCGAGTGCCTAAGGGTGCGGTTCCTTTCCTAGTGGACACCCAAAATGACGCTTGTCCCTTTTTGTGTCCCTCTAAAACCACCAAACATGCGGGTCTTAACCGAAACAAACACACACACACACACAGACACACACACACACACACACACACACACACACACACACACACACACACACACACACACACACACACACACACACACACACACACACACACACACACACACACACACACCACACACCACACACACACACACATACACGCACACACACACACACACATACATACACGCACCCATATTCTGCCCATGACGAATGTGTCGCTAAGGTCCACACATGCTGCCAAGGTAGACGAAGCATCGGCATAGGAAGATGGCTGTGCGGTTCAGGTCAGTGCCCGCTCCGGACGCGGACTGACCTGAGGCGACACGTACGTGTGGTGTGTCCGTTTAGTAAGACAGGTGGCCCCGCCATGGTGTATAAAACCAATCTAAACCAGCTCCCAGCGATGATTGAAGTTTTAAAAGGAAGCTCCAAACAAGGTGGTTTGCTCCAGCTTCCCTTCACCCCCCCCCCCGCAAAAAATCAAACAACAAAAAACAAACAAACAAACAAACAAACAAACAAACAAAACAAACAAAACAACACTAAAACAAACAAAACATATTTTGGAAAAGAGGCACGCAAACATGTCAAAAGAAGCTTGGTCTCTTTGAGTTGTTGCTATCGGGGACCCTTTCCCGCCACTTCCCGCCCTCAATTTCAGGAAGCAATCCTGCGTCAAATGAGGCGGGAATAATAGGTAGCACGTTCTTGCAATCTTGCTTCAACATGCAAGTGAACCAAAGGACTGCAGCATTCCCGAGCATCACTCAATTCCCGAGCGTCACTCAATCAACATGGGCCACATTTGACGCCTACGCAAAGTCGATAGGCAAGATCGTTGACTATCTTCCATGGTGCCAAAGATGTGCTTGTCTCACTTCCTGATGGGCCTACACAAATGAACCACACGTTGTGTCTAGCACTATGGTCGAGTGAGTTGCGTGATCCATGCGGATAGCTGACGCCATGAACCCCACTCCGATCTGAACCGTCGGCCGGAGAGAATCCCGTCCCTTGAATTTCAAGCGACACATGTCTAGGTGTTGTTGTTTAACAGGGGTCCCTGGATTTCTCCGAAAGTTGATCAGTTTTCCGGCAGATTCCGTTGAAATTGACCCACTGGTGGAGATTCCAAACAGGGGCATGGGGGAACACAGCTGTGTAATGGGTCCTGGACCCTTTGGTGGTCATCATTTCCGTAGTCCTTTAAGTACCACGCTCGTGTGCGTATAAGGCGCTGATGACAAAGATGATCAAGGTGAACAAGAAGTAGAGCCTCCTGCGCGGTTTCTCTGTGTTGGGCCCCTTGCAAGGCAATTGACAGGGTTCGCTCGTTTGAGGAAACGAGTGCTGACAAAGGTAAAGCTATAAACTACCCTCTCAAAAATGCTCGTGGCTGGTCAAAAATAAGGTACCGGAAATGGAAGCCGGGCAAGCGGATTGACAAGGACTAAGACCTGTGCTGTCGTGGTAGTTTCATTTTGTGCCAAGGCCATCATACCCACCTGAAATCAGAGGGCTTCCTTGAAACGTGAACGAGACCTGCCTCAGCAGGTCTGATCGTCGCACGTGGACGGATGATTCTCGAGAAAAGCAGCGCTGGCCGAGGCTGCTCGGCAACACATGCCTGGCTGGTTTCCTTTTTGGTTGCCCCCTATACCAACAAGGGGGTCCCCTTATTGAAAGAAGAAAACCGCTCGGCTGCCCAGTGGCCATGGGACAAATATATAAATATCCGGCATCCTTTTTTGGTTGGTTGAGTTTCAAGGGAACCCTTCCCCCCAAAAGAAAGAAACTATCATTTCCAGTAGTGAAATCGATTCCCTTAAAACCAGCGGGGGAAGATCAAAAACAAATTATTTTCGGCAAATGGAAATCTTCTCAGCTACCCCCTAATTGGTGGTTTGGAGCCGAATCGGTTTGGTGCTTTGGAGCCCGATGGTTTCCCATTTACCCGCAAGATCCAGGGCTTCAAATGAGTCACAATCAAACCCGGCACAAAACTGGCTAACCAAGAACCATGTAAGCGCGCTAAGAACGCGGATTCCCGCACCTATTTATGGCTGGGATCGTCCCTTACTAATCTTCATCTACTTCATCTACACGAGTTTTGAGCGAGTGACTCAATGTATCACACAAGTGCCTCCGCGGACCTTTCGGGAGTTCCCCACGAGGTTAAAATCTCCATCTGAGAGAAAAACGCGGAGATCGTCCCTAACCTTCATCTACTTCATCTAGCCGGGTTTTGATTGTGAGCGACTCAAATGGTTTGCAGCTTCGGGGGTTCCCTTTTTTTCTGTAGTCTATCTTAGTAACCCTCCCCCCAAAAAGGGTGAGAAAGGGCACTGGGGGACCTAGGAAACGGTTTGGAGCTTCGGGGAGTTGCCCCTCTCAGCCCGGTTCCCCGGTTCCCCGGACCCCGTGAGGAACTGGTAGATGATGAGCCGCTCCCACAGGAGGTCTGCAAAGAGCACCTCTGCCATCCGTCGGATCCGTCGGATCCGTCGGATCCGTCGACCGCGCCATGCGGCGGCTTGGGTCGCTCTGAAAGGGAAGCCAAGCGGAAACCTACCGTGTCGGTCTGAACATTTTCACCGTTAAGACAACAAACATGGCAAAAAGTGCGGACTTCTGGTTGAACACTTCCGTTGCATTTTTGTCCCCTGGACAAAATGTATAAGTCCAGTAGCGAAATCGATTCCCTTTGACACCAACCGGGCAAGACAAAACATATGCTTCAGCCAATGGGAGGTGAGGCTCAAATTGCCCGAGGATCGCGCGCTCCCTTCCCCACTCCCCTCCCTTCCTCCTCCCTCCCCCCCATCTGAATGTGGCTCAAAATTAAAGGGCTAGGGCAAACCGCTGGTTTTAGTCCTTGGTTCCATTTACCAAGGTGCCCATAGGTGTCCTTTAGGGGAAATAGATGGCCCTGGTAGATGATTCAACCACCAGGTCAACCAGGAATCGCCATCTATTTTCCTAGCAAAACCACCAAAAAGGACACCTATGGGCCTACACATTCCCTAAACCTCTCGTCACCTGTTTGTTGAAACCCACAAGCGGGCCCTCCTATGAAGGTGGCCATTTTGGTACCACTTTGAGCCACCCCCCACCCATCTCTCACCGGGCCACCACGACGGAGTGGGAGATCACCTTGGGGTCCGCAGCATCCGCCAGCCACTCCAACGCCTGCGGGTCTGGCGGGGGGAACGTGTGGAGCGAGCCGTTCTCCGGGGCTCAAAGACATGGGCCGCGGGTTTTTCTTATTTTTTTCTTGCTTGTTTCTTCTCTTTGTTTGCTTCTCTGTTTTGTTCTTCTCTTTTTTTCTTCTCCTTTTTTTCTTCGGTTTTTCAAGGTACCCTCCCCAGAAGTGGGCTGTTCTCAAGAATGGGCTCTTTTGTTTTTTCTAGTTGTTCAAGGTCCCCTCCCACCAATCACTGCAACATGGAACCTGACGTTGGGGAAATGGTCCCTTTGAAAGGAAAGACCCCCGAACGGCAGGTTCCATGTTGATTGGCAGGAGAGTACCCTTGCCTATTACCCTTTCTGCTTGGTTTTCAAGGGAAACCAACAGGAAAACTAGCATTCGCGAGGTTCCCTTGGTTTGGAGACACACTCATATGTAAAAAGGAAAACCTTTAGTCATGATTCAGGCCCTACTCCGTGAGTGCGTAGGCTGTATCATTATGATGCGATTTAGATAAGTACCTAATAGAACGGCCTGAATCATTAGAATGGGGTTGGGTGGGTCAGAAACAAACTCAGTCATTCTAGGAGTCAACCATGAGTAATGACTTAGTCCCCTACATAAGATGGTCCTCGAGTTGTGTGTGTTTCAAATTGACACGATCAGCATGGAGTCTTCCCAAGTCGAAGACTGTTCATGAAGGTGAAGTGCTTATTCGGGAAACAAAGAACTCTGCGGTGGACATCATTTAGATGGGGGGTCATGTTCGCCAACCACTTGCGAGGTGGTTCCAACTCTTTCAGATTCATAGCCATGCATCAACGGGGCCCCTGTACGAGAACCGTGGTCTCGGTGTTTTTAGACGGTTGCCTAGCCCGCCCTGAAAATTGGTCTGTTCAACCACAAGTCTGCACTGTTTGCCATGTTTGTTGTCTCGACGGTTGGGGATGATCACCACCGTCGCAAAGGGGTGTCCCTTGTTGACAGACTCGCGGGGACATTGCCCCACCCAGCCAGGGCAAGCATGCGATACTATCACGCCCTCCAGCGGATCTCCATGGGAAAAGAGGACACTCTTCTTCTGAAATCCTGAGTGGACTGGCCAAAAAAGTTCAAGCTGTCTATTTACCACCAACATTGTCTTCCTTAAAAGCAATCTCAGGCTTGGTAAATTGGCCAAATTGGTCTCTCCCAAAAGTTTAAAGTCCAACTCAGGGGGTGATTTTTAAAGGGACACTGCAAAGAGGAACACAGCGCACCCAGCGGGTTGAAGGTTTGGCACAAGCTGAGCAAGCAGAGTACCTAGGCCAGCAAACACAAGTCCAGCAAGGACGAAAGGCTTGGCCGGAAACTCTTGGGAAGGGACATGCCTGAAGATAAGGCAGCAATCTGCAAAACTCTCAGAGTCAAATCCACAGCACGAAATCAAAAAGAACGGGCGTCTGGCCAACACTACCCGGTGATTCGGTTTCCCTGCATGGTAGGTCACCAAGGGCTTGCCTAGTGGCTCGCCTGGGATCCACGCTTTCACGGATTTCTAGCCGTCCTATCGGGAAGTCTGCCCCCTCCGAGAGTGATGAACCCCCACTCATCGGGGACCAATTCCGTTAAGCATCAAGTTCATTCATCAGAAAAATCCCACAACCAAATTGCCAGGTTGCACTTCGATTTGTGGGGAAGGTCAAGGGAAATACCTTGTTGTTTTTCTCTGGAATCGGTGAAGGTTCTTTACATTGGAATCGTTTCTTTGGTTTTGTGGGGGGGTTGGGGCTTGTCCAGGTTCACCCGTGGCCCTGGGTCGCAGGCGCGGGCCACCGGCCTGGTTCAAGTTGCCCTCGGCATCCTGCACAAGGTGCCTGGCAAGTGGCAGGCTGGGCTCGAAATGGAGACTTTCCGCACAGATTCTAAGCGGGTTCTATCACTTTATACAGAAATGGTCCTTGGTGCAAGCCTCATTCCTGCGCAAAAAGAACAACGAGTTCTCTAGGACTATCACATTTTACACAAATGGCCCTTGGTGCAAGCCTCATTCCTGCGCAAAAAGAACAACAAAGTCTCCACAGTTGGCCTCGAATCGGCCCAATCACAGAACTCCCAGACTCCGAGACCCATGCCGAGCGGCTTGATGTAAAAGTTCACGCGGCGCACGCCTGACGCGGGCCCGAGCCGGAAACGAGCCCTCGACCAACCGAGGCCTCGAAGGCCGAAGGAGGACCCGCCGAAGGAGGGCCCACTGCAAATGCCATGAACCAAATGGCGCCCTCTTCAGACGACCTTTTTTCTTCCCACGGACGCCAGAACCAAGTCAACCAAATAGCCATTCAAGGGGCGGTGCCAGCGCAATGCGCATGTTTCCTTGCTAAGACCAAGCTGTGACATTGAGATACTTTGCTCCATGCCCTTTGTGGATGAGCCCTTGATGTTGTGTTTTGCTGCCAAATAGCAGCATTCTGTGGGCAGACAAGTTTGTCATGGTGCAAGCCAGCTTGATTGCTCAGTGGATTCTACATGTTTCCGTTGTTAGCATGGATACTCCTTTAGCATGTCCTACGGTGACAACTGATGTTTAGGTAGCAAAGACATGATTTGTTGCAGCCACCTACAAAAACAAGAAATAACAAAACATACAAACAACTACCACTTGCCAACAAAAATGCCGTAAATTCAGTATTCCTGAAGGTAGCGAAAGAACCTCTGGTGCAAATCTGGGTACTCCAAATGCACCACATAAACCTTCGCGGGCCGTGGAGTTCCGGCGGCATTCCTTTGACGCCTGCGGACGCCTTTCAATCAGTTGCAGTGCAGGTGGCTTGTTTGTGAAACCGCTTGCGCAAACATCTCTGGGCCCTACTAACTTTTAGAGGGTTAAATGGAAACCACCACTAAACACTCAAAAGCCAAAAGGCTAAGGGGATGGCTGGGAACCACCCAGATTTGCAGATGCTTGAAGCCAACAAACGGCATGTCAAGGTGTTTTTTGGCCCTGGCCAAAAGAACGCCTCATGAATGGAAGGCCTTTATTTTTGCTGGTGCTCGGGGAATCAATTGGGATTTGGGAACGCACCTAGAGAATCCCTTAAAGGAAACCATACGGGATGTTCTTTTGCGGGGTCATTCCAACTCTTTCCCTGAGAGCCAGCAAGTCTTCCCCTCTGAAATGGGGTTCTCTGTTTTTGAGGGCACCCTTCTTTTCGTGTTCTCTCCTTTCATTCTTTTTTTGGACAAAAAAAACTACAAGGATCACAGGGTCCCTGTATTTTAAGACACGTCACGGACCCCTCAAGTCACGGACTCCCAGCCCATCGCGATTTCTCCCTGCCCCTGGGCTGTCCGTGTTCTGATCCCCTGAAAGTGAAGAACTTGTGGGTCAGCCGGAGATTTACCACTAAACCAACTTAGGCTATTGGGGTTTGGACCGCTGATTAATCAAGAGCGGCGGTTAACTTGTGAGTGAAATTCGGAAATCCAACCACAAAATCAACTAACAAGCTGAAAAGCTAAGTTGAACCGGATGGCTGGGAACCACCAAGCTACATGGGTCACAATGAAGCATTGATATAGCAAATGTTCCCGCGCTCAGACTGATCTTTCCCGCAAATGGGTGTGTCTGAAAATGGGGACCTTACAAAATGGTTGGCTTCTTTTGGGAATCCAAAAGGGGCCCCCTTCGCCTCATAAAAATGGCCCATCCACCGGCCTTCTTTGGTGAGCCGTGACCGCCAAATCAAGCCATCCAGCAAGGGCCATTGGAGGTCTGGCGCGTCTATACCTCAAACCGATGGGAAAAACGACGACGCTTGCGATGCTTGCGAATGGAAGCTGACGAGCCAGTGGACACACAGCTCAGGTGACCCTTAGTTGGTGCTTCGGGGAGTCGAACCCCAGGTTTTTGTAGAGGGTACATGGAAATTGGGAACCCCTCCTCAACCTGACCAATGGAAGCTTCCGCGGTGGACACAAACAGCACTGTGGTATCCACCAGCTGAAAGTGTTTTGGGGCTCGATCGGCCCAGACATCGGTTCGATGCGGGTGGCTTGCGCAGCTTGCAGGGAGGGTTCTTTTCGGAGGGTTCCAAGCGGCTCCGGGCGGGACAGCACCCGGGAGGATTCAAGAAAGCTTAAAAAGAAACGCGGAACCTGCGGGTCCCTTGCTTCTTTTTCTTGGGAGGTCTGGGGCGTGTCTTAGACCGCGCGAAAATCTGGGAATTGGATGGGCGCGGAGTCAGCCTAGGGCTGATACGACATGGCTTGCTTCTCCTGTACTGCAGAACAGTGCCTCGCACTGAAACATGGATGTGCCTATTTTCGCGGGTATCTGTTTGGGCTTGCCAAGGGAAGTGAAAGCAAACACTTCCATTTTGGTGTCCCCTACTTAAAACCTGGTCAAAGGCGGGTGAACATCATGCACCTCCCGCCTCCCTTAATTTCATGCAATCAGTGATGCAGTACAACGAATCCGTGGTACTTGATTTGTGTCGTTCTCCCAGTACAGATCTGGAAGACTGTTTGATCGGCCCAGCATCACGTCAGACAGCTGGCCAAGTGCAGCATTTCTGACGTGAAAGTGCTAGTCATGGAATCGGCAAGAGGCAAGCTGTGACCATGAACCCGTTAACGGTTGTAACATTTTGGGGTCATGCAAAAGTGCTGTGCATCTGGTATCGGAATCCACTGATACACTCCCACCTTGGATGGAGATCTGAATAAGGCAAACAGGTCTTGAGTGGCATCTCCATCTCAAAACAGAGATGAATTTTGACCCCAAAAGGTCCAAGTCCAGGTTTCAAAACCTGGTATTAAAATGGTCGTAATCCCAGAAATGTAAAGAATTAAGAAGGCGGCTGCACCCAAATATGGCTGGGATTGTCCCTTACCCTCCAATTACCCGGGTTTTGAGCAAGTGGCTCAAGTAGCTTCTGATGCAAAGGCGCCACATGGGGTCCACGTACATCCAGCCTAAGGACCCGGGCGAACAAAATATCTGAGGGCTGTGCTGAGCTTGCGGATGATGTCGGGATGGCGGGTGAAGAGCGCATCGTAGCCTGACACTCCGGCGGCTCCGAAGGTTGCATGCCAGTGCGTCAACATATCTCCGTACAACAATATGGTTAACAACAAATCACTTCGAAGATGTAGACAGAAATCCACAGCCGCAATGGAGTTTGACCACACCATGCTGCAAAGCCTCCAGATGTCACTGATTGCACAGAAAGGAATGCCGAGGATTGGTTCATTCCCTTTACTGCGTGCTACGCAAACTTGACCTAAACATTCTAGGTCATGTTGAGTCACACCATGTCACAGCGTGGCTGCAGAAATTTTGACACAACACCGTGAATCCTCCCATGAAAGGGGCGCATGCCTAGTCAGATGAGAACAGGACGCGCTTGAGCTGAATGCCTGAACTAAGTGTCGAATTCAAGGAACCGTTTGCACTCGGTTGATTCTGATCATCCTGTTTACTGTGTCTGCATTCTGCATGAAAGCGCTTGAAATGACGATGCCGTCTACCTTGGGCGAAAGAAGCAACTGCCAATCTAACTGAACTCCAAGGACGAAACATGCACGTCAGTGGTAGATGGGGGGCGGGGGGGGTCCTTTTTTAGGGGGCCACCTCCAAAAACGGGGCGTTCCTTCCATTCGCGACTCAAAGACGTACGTCCCTCTGCTCTACAGGCAGCCGTAGTAGTAGTTGTCGCGATCTGCGCGGATGGTCAGCAGGTCGATCACCATCGCCTGCACTCGAGGCTCGATGGGGCTCGTCGATTTTGGATGGGGGCTGGTGGGAGGGAGGACAGGGGGAGGGAGCCCAAATAGGGGCTGAATAAGGCGCCAAGAACAGGGCCTTCTTTGGGCTCCCCCGTCCCTCCTCCCCCGCCCAAGTCCCCATCTTGAGGTTGGCACGAGGGCAGGTGGTGCTTTTGGCTTGAAAGGGAAACCAAAAGGAAAACCACAAGTTTGGGGGTCCCGAAGTCCACTTCAAAAAAGGGCTCACCCATTTGCCCGGGTTTCTGCAAGGCCTGCTTGACTCCAGGGAAGTCATAAACTATCACCAACCTTCTTCCTTGCTCGAAGCCGTCAGCGTTACACCTCTCAAAGGAACCCCCTCTAAAAACCCCACAAAAAAAACAAAGGACACCTAATGGCATTAGCGGGTGTCTGGGCACAACGGTGAGCGGCAGATAGCGTTGGGGGCACTATAGCGGGAACAGAGCTAGAATGGGTCTATGCCGCATGCGCACCCTATTCTCAAATGTTGGTAGCAGAAGTCACAATCAAAACTTGGTATTAAAATAGTCTACCCAGAGCCATGTAAAGAATTAAGAAGGCGGCTGCACCCATTGAGAAGGGTGGGATTATCCTTTAACCTTCATCTACCCAGGTTTGAGCAAGTGGCTCGGGTGACGCTAGATCTTTTGCAAGCAAAACGGCACCTGTTTAAAAAAGTTCACACCACTCAGTGTCTCCCATGGCTGGCACTATTGACAGCATGCCTATCAACCTCTTGTAGGAATCCTCAAAACAGTCGACGTGTCAGGAGATCTTGGAAATCACAAGCCAGTTTCTGGCAACCATTTCCAGGGCGCCTTGACACCATCGACTTTTGGTTCTACTAACATCGTTGTATAAAGGTTTGTGTAGGCTTTACCAGAACCCCAATGGAACAAAGTAGTAGAACCACCTAGGTTCTAAAATGGCCAATGGGGACAAGGGCGCCTTGATACATGACTCGCTCAAAATCCAGGAACTTCCCCTTGGGCATCGAGGCGCTCGCTTCGAAGTATTTGAGTCTCAAAGCGAATCCCAGGATGGTGTTTGGAAACCAACCGGAAGGGAACCGACAGAACTCTGCAATTACTCCCCTACATTTTGACATGGGACCCAAAAGGGGGAAAGGAGCTTCCTCCACAGATTGCTTCTGGGTTCCTGAGCCTCCATCACAAACGAGCCACACCTAAATATCTTGAAATTCCGCCAATAGAAAACCGCCATTTTGTGGGTTCTCCCCTAGTTTGCCCCACATACATTTGCTTCTTCCGACACATCTCCACATCTGTCTCTCTCTCTCTCTCTCTCTCTCCTAGGTTCTCCAGTAGAGAGGTTAGAATAAGGGTACCAACTTTTTTCTGCAGTCTATTTTAGTAGGGTTCCCCCTCCCAACCAAAAAAGGGGTTCAAAAGGGAGGGCACCTGGGGGACCTAGCCACATCGTTCTCTCTCTCTCTCTCTCGCGCCTTGGCGACGTTCAGACTTCCGCTTTCGATGGCCCAGTAGAGCGGCGAGATGGACTGCGTGCCCACCTCCCCGATGGTGTTGGATTAAATATGACCCATACCCATTTGGTGGCTTGAAATGGACACCTCCACTAAACATCACAAAACCCTAAAAACCGAAAACAAACAAAACAAATAAGGGGATGGCAGGGAATCGCCAACGTCGCCAAGTTAGCTTGGGACGTTCGACTCAGCGCAGACTGGACTGGCCAACGTCAAACATGCAAGCCGCGTTTTCATTGGCAACAATGTTACTTCGCAGAGGATGTTCAAAGACTATTTGCGCCCCAAGTCCTTTATGTTTCGGTGCTCGTTTGCTTAACTGTCGCAACCACCGAACATGCTGGAAACCTAAAGGTCAGTTGCAAGTTCCTTCCTCATGCAAGCATCATGGCATGCCTTTCCACAAGGACGGCCTAGTCTCAAGCAATGATCTTTGCCTTTGGCGCCGAAGCAAAGTGAAACGTCACTTATCAGATGGACTTCGTTCAACATCGTTCAACGGGACCCTGCATTGTCCAAACCCAAACTGGGAGCCGTTCTCATGTTGAGGTCTCCAAGTTGAAGATTCCGAAGGGGCTCCCAAGCTTAATTGAGGCTTATACATATAAAAACATTGTTGCAACAAGCAAAATGAAAAACACATGCCAACCAAGACGTTTCTTCACCACTTTGCGTATATAGCCATGTTGCAACGAAACAAAGATCCAAACACTTCCGGGGCGACCCAGAAACATGTTGGTGAAAGAAGCTCGAGGACCTCTTCACCCCTCCCCCCCGGACATTTTCTCACTTTACCGGGCGCCGGCCCCAAAACACGTCCCCCTCCTCCCCCTCCTCCCCCTCCCCCGCCTACGGGACCCCCCCCCCACCTCCAGCCCCTGCAAACCCCCCCCCCTCCCGCGACGCTTCCGCTTCCGCGTCCCTGAGCGAAGGCGTCGAACGAAGCCGTCGGCGTCGGAAGGCGAGCGGCCGCCACGTTGAGCAGCTCCATGGCGCGGAGGCCCCGCGGCACCGAGGCGATGGCCCGCCGCAGCGCCTAGCCGAGCCGGGCTGAGCATCCGTGGGTCGGTTTGGGTCGGGTTGGGTCGGGGGGGGGAAGGGAGGTGGGTGGAGTGGTACGGCCAAATTGGACTTCTCTCCGGGTTTTCGCCAAAAGGAAAGGTGCAGAAGGGGAGTTATGCGGAGTTTTTTTGTGTGGGTCCTGTGGGGTAATCCGGAGTTTTTAGACTATGGGGCACCAAATGGGCGTCTTCTCACTTGAGTGGAATGCTTCCTTTGGGTTCACCTACAAAAAAAAACACAAAAAGGGGTACCCTCGAAATCCATTTGCAGCAGGGCTGTCTGCACCAAATGTTGGTCCGCAGTATCACTGGGTGTGGCTCCTTTTTTGAGGCTTCCCTTGTTGAAGGAAATCCAAAGGAAACTGTTTTGGCGTTGGGTGTAAATTGAATGCATGGCCATACTGGTGTGTCGCTTTTAGGGAACCCTCCAAAATCGACGGTCTCCTTCTGTTTTCTCTTTAAAACCCAAAAAAGGGGGTACCCTCAAAAAATGACAGACTCATGTCGCTTTTGATACCATGTTGAAGCTTGGGTTGCTAAAAGAGGGACAAAAAGGACGCCGACGATGCGCCACCCACTTCTATGGAACTTCCACGTCCGTTGTGAGCTTTGTACCCTGAGCAACAAGCCTGACGGGGTGCCAGGGCTTGAACGGGCTTGATGGACAAACGTGGCCTGGGGTTGGGACTGGGTTTGGGCTTGGAGACTGAGTGGAGAGAATTGGGCTGGATGGGGTAACTGGCTGGGTTAGGCTGGAATGCATGCAAACGGCAAGTGAAAACAAGCAGCATGATTGGCATGCGTATGGTCGAGGTGTGAAAGGGGGAAGCGATTTCAACCCCGCAATGCGGGAGTCCGGACACTCCAAATCCTGCCTTCTCCTGATTGGTATTCACGGCCTTCATGACGATGGTAGAGCCTGCGCAAATGTGATTTTTGCCACACTAGTTCATATTGCCAGGAGTGCATGTGCTCTCATACGCCCAACTGGTTGGCTAGTTAAAGACTACATGGCTTGCCTCACAACGGGGATCTCGCTTTGGGATTGTTTGGCAGGGAAACCAAAGGAGAAAGAATATCCACATTCAGCCTGAGATGCAGCCCTCTTCATATCCTGAAATCGGGGTTGAATGCAGTGTGGCTGCCAACTAATTAATCAATACCGCATGCAGCAAAGCAGTATACAGCTGAGGATTGTCAATCCACGGAGACATGGGTGTGTGCTGTTGGATGCTGGCCACACCAAATAGGGGTTTGTACCTACAGATACTGATTTGCCATCTGTTTAGTATTGCTGTTCATGTTTTGTGTGTTCGTCTTCTGCTTCTCCTTTTGTTTTTGTCCTCCTCTTCTTCTCTGTATTTCTGTTCCGAACATCCAGTCGTCTTCAACTTCTTCTCCTTTGTCTCCCTTCGTTTGCTCGTCTTCTCATTTTTCCTCAATCTGAAGAGTCCTTATATCCCACGAGACAAGCCAACCCCGGACGGAAAGATCTTGCCGCCTTGACCAGCGAGCAGATCGGACAGAGCACCGCTCAATACTAGACTTTAACAGACGGGCTGGGGTTACTCTTGGCCATGGCTCAAAGAATGTGCCAATGTGGCACCTTGGCAAATGGAACCAAAGACTGAAACCGCGCAACCCTAGCCCTGGAATTTCGAGCCACACCGCGACATTTTGCGTCAACGGGGGGGTTGCAGACAGCTGCGCACGTGCGAAAATCGTTTTACCAGCGTTTTCTGTGGAAAACCTGCTTTGCCGCTTCATCGACTTCACTGGCTGTTTTCGCGCTGGTCGCATGCGCAACATCGGCTGGTATCGCGCTACAGGGGTCGAGATCAACACCACAACCCTTGCGCCCTGCGCTGCCCTTGTGCAAGTTCATAGTTGTTCACGCGCGCAAAACACCCGTGTTTTACCAACATTTGTGCAGCAAACCTCAACATGTACGCTGCAGGATGAGTGGCGTAGGGTAAGCTAGATGGCGCATGGGCCTGTTTCGAGCTGGCCCCGCACGCGCATCATGGCTTGGCAGCACCAGGCCAGCTTATCCTTCCTGCGAACCGGCAACCTGCCCTCCCTTTGATCCAAAATGTTGCCACACTTGGCGTGCTTACTATGACACAGGTTGGCCAAAAAATGCTACAAGTCAGCTTGAGCGTGCTGGTCTCGCCACTCTACGAGTTGCCACCTAGCACGTTGCCACCGGACACAAAGATCCTCAAACTGAACGGACCGCGAACGACAGACTTGGTACTTTGCGACTCGACAAGAACATCTAACAGACATCTCTCAGAAATATGCATCTAGCTCCTCCAGTAGAGGGTTAGAATAAGGGTACCCTTTTCTCTGTAGTCTAATTTAGTAGGGGAACCCTCCCCAAAAAAAGGGGAGAGAAGGGCACTACTGGGGGACCTAGGCATGATGCAGCCAGTGTACCACCGTGTGCTCTCCCCAAAAATCTCCCGGACGCGAAGGCCTTCCATGGTGGTGCGAACCAAGATCTTGCCGATCAGCGTCAGGGACCATCTAAATGCCTCTTCTGCAGTGTCATCCTGGGAGAAGCGGTCACGAAAATTCCGAGATGATTACCATGGGTGACCCCGAAACAAATTGCAGTCCTTTTGGTTTCCTTTTACCCTCCCAAAACGGTTCCCTCCAAAACAGGGTTTTTGTCGGGGTCTCAAAATTCGGAACCAACCCGCCTGCGCTGGCAACAAGAACATGACGCATCTATCCTACTGGGCAGCTTTCTCCAGTGGCAAAGCCCATATTCAGGAGGTCCAGCCAACCCTTGAAAATTCAAATTGAGGGACACTTTATAATAATCAGCGCAAACTACAGCCATCTACACTGTGTTGGATTCCAGCAACTGAACAGCAACATCAGCGGTGGTTGCAAACATTTGCAAACAACATGCCACCAAATCTTAGTGTTTGTCACACTGCCACAGTGAAAAACTACTTGCAAATACAACTGCAGTGCGTCTTACGAACCGAGACCCCGATGAAGGGTGCAACTTGCAGGGAGCTAGCGGCTAGCTACTGCTTCAAGCAGCTTGCCCCGGGCTAGCATACACTTGAGTAAAACCCTGACTTGACACATCCTTCTGCACCCGCCTGGAATACCTCCATTTGCGTTCTTGCCCCTGGAAAACAAATAAGAATACTTCCAATAGTCATAGATTCCCTTCAAAACCAGCAGGGGCCGACAAAACAAGATTCTCAACTTTCATTTGGTTAAGACCCCTGGAAAAAAATAGAAAACCTATGTCCAGTAGTGATAAATTCCTATGAAATCCAACAAGGGTAAACAAAACATATACATTTCAGCAAATGGAAGTCGTGATAGATTCCCTTCAAAACCAGCAGGGGCCCATAAAATAAAACAAAATATTCTTCCTGGACGCATTTTGCCGCCTCCGGCCGTTCATCCGCAGTTCGGCCGCCTCCGGCCGCGAGCCTCCGGCCGAGGAGCCGTGGTGAGGCCCCTCAGCACCTCCACGGTCGCCGAGACGAAGGGCGCGAAGAGCTCGATGGGGATGGCGTAGCCCACGTGCCCTGAGGCGAAAAGGCGGAAAAAAGGGGAAAAACAAGAACCAACAAAGCAAAACAAAACAAAAACACGTGCGAACACCAAAAAACACATGCGAACACCAAAAACAAAAACCAACACATGCGAACAAAAAAAAGCCGGGGAAAAAAAACAAAAACACCAAAAACAACAAAACAAAAAGGCGAACCAACAAAAACAACAACAACGGGACGCGGAGCGTAAGGTTCTTCCAGGCAGGCCTTGGACGCTTTGGGCAGTTGAACGTTGGGATTTTGGGGCGGCGGTCCAAAGAGTTTCAAGTGTACCCCGGACCCAGCCCTCGGTGGCGAAATCTGCGAAGCCCTGCTAAAAGTGACTAACTTTTAGTGGGAAAACCCATGAGCTGGCAAAAAGCTAAAGTCCTAACATCCAAGCATTTGAAGATCCTACTGCCGATTTGCTTGCGAGGCGCTTCAACAAGCCTGATTCACAGGTCGAATCTTTCGGAAGCTCAGTGCGCAACGTTTCTATCAAGAAGTCGATGGCGTCAAGTACTGCATGCTTCGACCAGTACATCTTGCCAACACCTTGCGCAAACAAAACATCACAGGGAAAGCACATGGGTGTGTCACGCAACAGGGGCACCCGCAAAACGAAGCAGTGTGCTTTTGGTCTCCCTTTAAAACCAATCACACAACGGTTCCCCAAAAAAGGGAATCCCACCCGCATGAATCTGAAGGTTTTCTCCGCGGCAGCTTCATGCAAAACGTCGAATCTCCGCATGATGTCTCTTGCCGTTGGCTGATCCGATGGACGTGCTATAAGTTCAGAGCAGGCAAATCGAACTTATCTCACAGCTAAAGCATTTGGTCCCAATGCTCAAGAAAGCAGACCTGGAAAGGGCCGTCTGCCAGAGTACCCCCCGAAAGCTCCAAATATCCGCTTTTTGTTCGGGTATCGTGTCAACTATCTACTAAAAAAGAGGTACTCATTGAAAGCCAGGTGGTTCACAATACCCTAAAACATGAAGGTGTTTGCAGCTTTCGTGGGTGCTTCTTCGCCTCTCGCAATCACGACTCCAAACCTTTGCTGCCGAAGGGTCTAAGACCCAAAGCGGAAATGTTCTCCACCATCTCGCGAGGGTGGTGGTACATGTCCACTGTCATTTCGATGACCCTCGGGCGGCAATGGCTTTGAGCATACCCATTTTGTGCGGTGTTTAAAGGGTGTTCAAGGGAAAAATACCAGGAACACCACCATTTTATGGGTCCCAAAAAACATACGCCCTAGTCAATCAAAAAACATCTGAGTCTCTTTCAAGTGTTTCTCCCATGGCCCAAACAATTGTGCTCAAGAAGGGTGCCTCTCGCAAGCTCGAAAGATGGCATCTGGGGCTACCAGGGCTGACTTGTTTTCAGCCTCGAGCCATCCAAGCCTGAAGCCTCAGCGAATCCCCTCAGCCCAATGGAAGGGGAACCCCAGATTTTTTGGACCCGGCCGATTGATTTTTGCGGACATCCTGCACCACAAATGCATGAAACCCGATCTTGCAACGGGATAAACTACCAACTGGTGGATTTTGTCCACAGGCACGATCGTCGGTACGTCCTCAGTATCTGGAACCTGCTGGTGATCTAATTACGCAGCACTCTTGGGCACAGCTGACATGCCTTTCCAGGAACAGAGTCGTTGTTGTTTGAGCGTCCACCCTTGCATTGCAGGCAGCACAAAGGAAGGAAAGAAGCTCAATGACTATTGGCTTTCTCAAAATCCCAGCGTTCTCCTGCGCCGTTCAGAGCCGCCTTTATTGGCCCGGGCACAAACAAACGCCACCCAAATTGAGAGACCAATGTGCAATTGTTTGAATATGGGTGCCATTTTTTGGGGACCCGCCGTCCCCTTCCCCCCCAAAATGCAGGTTCTCCTTTTGGTTCCTTTTTAAACCACCTCGAACAGGAGATTCTCAAAAAAGAGACACGGCAGTACGAGTCATATGAGTAAACACCCCTGGCCACACCTCCAGAAGTTGTCACTTCAAGTTCTTGCTCTCCCTTTCTGGCTGGTGATTGGTGACACCTCCATTTTTTCTCCTTTGCGTCATGTTGAGTGGGACAATCGGCCAGGCGGCCATCCATGCCGATCCGGTTTTTTTCGCCTCCAGCAGTTAGCTAATGCTCAGGCTGAAAATGGCCATCGGTGTCGATCCGTCGATCCGCCTTTAAGCCAAGTGGGTGTGGCTCAAAATTTAAGAGCTGGGGCAAACCGCAGGTTTTACTCTTGTCCATTTACCTAGGGGGCCATTTTGGTAAAGCCATTGCCATAGCCATGGAATTTAGCTAGCCATTTTAGATGCCATGTTTTTTGAGCCATAGCCGTTTTCTTCGCCACGTCGCTTGTCGGCGATGAAGTAGAGCCGCGCGGTGGACTGCTTGAAGAAGTCCTGCCCGGCTGGCGCCAGCTCGAAGAACCTCAGCGACTTGGACGGGCGGAGCTGACTCCTCAGATAGACTAGGTCCTCCAGATTTGAGAGGTTAGAATAAGTTGGTACCCGAATTCTTTTCTGTAGTCTATTTTAGTAAGGGAACCCTCCCAAACAAAAAAAAAAAGGGGAGAGAATAGCACTACTGGGGGACCTAGCAGAAAAATGTAAATTGTCTAACTCGGACAGAACCCGATGGGCACCAGTTGGTAGGTTTATCCCATGCTGCTCAAAGAACCTACAAGAAGTGGGGTGGGCAGCGAAAACCAGGTTTTAAGCACCTGCTCCTCGTCCTGAAACCCGGTAAAAACCCGTATAAAAGCAGTACAAAACCCGCACTGGCAATATGTTTTGTCACATTTTGGAAGACCTAGTTTCTTCTCTGCAAGCCTAGTTATTTTCGGAACCTTTTTGTTTGCAGGCTTTTGGAGTAGATCCCAAGTGCAGGATTTCGTCCACCCCCTGTGGTCTATTTCAAGACATAAAATGGCTTGGGAGGAGACGCCAGTGTCGTAAAACCAATGTGTTACCGCAAAAGAGTGCAATGCAACAAGAGTTGCCCACAGGTTCATCTAGGTCCTCCAGATTTGAGTGGTTAGAATAAGTTGGTACCGGATTTTTTTTCAGGACGTCTATTTTAGTAGGGGGTTCCCCCTCCCAACCAAAAATGGGGAAAAAGAGCGGTTGCACCAATTGCTGGGGGGACCTAGTCATTCACTTCCACAAGAAATGACTTACCTCGAAAGCCAATGGCCCTCAAAAAATCATGGAGATGCATTCACCCGACCGTCGGGAGGGACTGAGGAGGTCCGGGACCCAATTCCATTTGTCTAGTCTTCCCCAAATCTAAAATTCAAAATAAACATCCACTTCCAATTCCAAAATTCAAAACAAAAAAACAATTCCAACTCCAATTCCAATTTCACATTCCAAAATTCCAAAATTCCAAAAGTCCAAAAGATAAATTCAGCAATGAAGATCTCCAGAAATCCCCTCCCCGGTTTCCGTTTCAGGAAATCCGGCAGCTCCGGCGCCGCTCTGCCAAAACCGGGCCTCGGCCCTGCGTTAACTCGACAGCTCACCCAGCTGAGGGCAAAAGCAACACGTAGCTGTCTGTATATGCGTGTAGGAATATATATGTGTATATATACCTAGGACTTCGAAGTCGGCTAAAAACTGTCTGCTGCTTTGCGAAAAGGCGCCTTTTTGTCTGTTTCGGTGTATGTATAATATAAATAAATAAATAAATAAATAAATAAACAAACAAACAAACAAATAAATAAATAAATAAGTAAATAAATAAATGAATAAATAAATAAATAACTATAATAATATATATATATATATAAGAAACATTGCTGAGAGAGGGGTGTTCTGCGGGAGGGGTGCGTGACTTCTGCTGCTCCAGTTTCTCCATTGTTGAGCTATTGCCCTGCTTGCGCCGAATTGCCAAATTGCAAAATGCTGCCAAGGTGAAAGCAGGCTGGGCAGGTTATGGGAGGGAGAAAAGTAGGAGATACCGCAACCATCTTGCAGAGTTCCCGCTGGACGGATGTTGGGAGATACAGCCGGCGAGGCATTTCGGATTTCGGACAGCCAGGCGGCGAGATATTTGCAAACTGTCTTGCCCAGCGGCGAGATTGTGGTCCTTCACTGTTTCCAGCGGCGAGATTCTTGGCTGACAACACCAATCGCGGCGAGATACTCCAGGAGTAGCTCTCCGCCCAGCCCTGCCCTCGAGAACCAGAAATCTCTCCAACTTGGGCCTGGTGCCAACCCCCTCAAAGTGGAGAGCTACTCTGGGAGTAGCTCTCCGCTCCTATTTGTGGAGTCTTACTGAGTGCTTCAGGAACCAACACAATCTTAACCAGACAGACTTGGGCCAAATCAGCCCATGAAAGGCCCCACAAATAGGCGCGGAGAGCTACTCTGGGAGCTACTCCCAGAGTAGCTCTCCACTTTGAGGGGGTTGGCACCAGGCCCAAGTTGGAGAGATTTCTGGTTCTCGAGGGCAGGGCTGGGCGGAGAGCTACTCCTGGAGTATCTCGCCGCGATTGGTGTTGTCAGCCAAGAATCTCGCCGCTGGAAACAGTGAAGGACCACAATCTCGCCGCTGGGCAAGACAGTTTGCAAATATCTCGCCGCCTGGCTGTCCGAAATCCGAAATGCCTCGCCGGCTGTATCTCCCAACATCCGTCCAGCGGGAACTCTGCAAGATGGTTGCGGTATCGCCTACTTTTCTCCCTCTCACAACCCGCCCAGCCTGCTTTCACCGTGGCAGCATTTTGCAATTTGGCAATTCGGCGCAAGCAGGGCAATAGCTCAACAATGGAGAAACTGGAGCAGCAGAAGTCACGCACCCCTCCCGCAGAACACCCCTCTCTCAGCAATGTTTCTTATATGTATGTATGACCTGTCGGCAAACGGATGGGTGTCCGTGCATCTTTAACGCGAGAAGAGCTGCACACGTGGAGCTAGAAGCATCTTCATTTCTGGAAGCACTCTGCTCGTGCCCATCACATTTCCCTCGACGGCATCCTCAGGACTCCTGTCCTTGTCTCAGTTGCCCCTTAGGGACCCAGAACCAAAAGGTGATCACCTTTTGGGACCTTTAAAAATAGGAACCAAACTAGGCAAACCAAAAGGTCAAAAGTCAAAAGGTCGGCTTTGGACCACTGGGTTGTTTCTGATGAGCACCGTGATCATGCCGGAAGCCAGCCTTTTCAAGCAGCACCGTGTCTGCTCGAGCAGCACTCGCTCCATACGTCGCACACTCCATCATGCTAAGAGTGTGGAACAACAACTCAAACTCAACTCCATATTCACTTACCTCCCACCAATTAACGGCCAGAACCCGATGTTCGAAAAGGTCCTGGTTTGGACAAATTCGAAAAATCTTAAAGGGACCATGTCCCGAACCTCGGGTTCCGGCGTTTGCTTTGAGGGTAAGTTGATTCTGTCTCCGCGTGGCTTTCTTTGCATCGAGCAAATCCACTGCGCAAGTGCACACCTGAGGAAGCCGCATCCGATCCCTGAAGAACACGCAAGGTACAAACAAAACGCTGGAAGCAAACTGGCCTCATGATTCTACCATGGTCAAAGTCACCCCCTAAGTGGTGGGTTAAAGGGCAACAAACCCCCATTTCTGATTTTGATAACCCCCAGAGACCGTCAAACTAATGACCCCTAAAGGACATGTGTGCGCAGCCGGTCCGGGCACATCCAGGCTGCCGCGCTTGCGGTAGATGCCCCGGCGAAGCTCCAAAAACTCCTGGCTGGTTCCGGAAGTCAACCACTCGCGAATGAGAAAAGCTGTTTGTTCAGCTTTTTTTTTTCCCGGGGGGGGGGGGGGGGCTGGGTTCTGATGTTTGTTTGCTTGAGGCAGATATGGATTGAAACCACATTTGCCTTTTGGGTGATGTGAAGCATCACCTTTTGGGCTAGTTTAAGGTTGGGTTCATTGTTTGGTAGGGTGGTTGCGGAAGCCAACGGGGGGCCACATCGATTCTGACCGCGACAAGCCCTTGCCCTTCCGATCTTGCCGGGTGTTTCACATTCCCGTTGCGCTTCTGCGGCATGAAAAAACAAAAGCTGGAACCCTCTTCCTGAGTGGGGCCGAAAAGAGTCCGAACTGTTCCTCGGTTGCTTTCTGCTCCCCTGCTAAAAGTGACTAACTTTTAGTGGTTTAGTACGGAAAGCCCCTCTTCGTTGGCAAAAAGTTGTTCAGTCCTAACAGCCCTTGGCAACATGCCCCAAACTTTTCCGATTTGCCCCGCGAAACTGGTGAGAGAAAGACCGGCCTTCAAGCTATCAACTGACAGCTTAGCAAACTTCCATGGCTGAACTGAGCTTCCTTCCAATTGGTGGGTTGGAGTTTCGGTGTGTTGGTGGCTTTGGGGTGGTTTCCTAGTCACACTCAAGACCCAGAGGTTCAAATCAAGCCACCAATCCAAAGCGGCAACATCCGCCACCTAAGGGGTACCGGAACCAAACATAGCCGAAATAAGCGCAGGGAACAAAAAACACGGCGCAAGCCAGAGGGCCCTGTTGCTGCACCTTAATCCCCAGCGGCAACTCTATATGGGTCCCTCTGTTTTTAAAGGGTACTTTTGTTGGTGTGGTTGTACAGGGAAACCAAAGAGAACACCACCTTTTTTAAGGGGTCCGATTCCCATTTCAAGACATACTCATCTTCAACCCCCATATTTCGACCACAGAAACTGAGTGAGAGTCAAAAACTCCGGTATTAAAATGGTCGTAATCCCAAAACCCATGGTAAAGGACCAAGGCGGATTCCCGCACCTGTTCATAGAGATTGCCACTTACCCTCCAATTACCCACTTGCTCAAGTGAGTTCCGGAGATCCCTCCTATTGCATGACCTTCGCCCGTGCCTTTTGGGGTATTCCCAAGTAGCTGTGGCTCAAACCACAATGGAACCCTGGTAAGTGGAAACATGGACCAACTGCGGTTGACCCTGCTGTTTCATTTGAAGCCACACCCAGGTGGTCTGAATCCCCTCCCACTAAAGGGGACCCCCCCTATCAAGCCTCCAACAATTGCATGACTTTGGGATTCACAAGCCCAAGTGGTCTGTTTCCCCCACTAAAACGGGCCCCCTAATCAAACCTCCCAGGAAAACAAAGGGCACCCCAAAGAAGCAAAAACCGCAAAAAGGGGGAGCTAAGTCTGGGGAAGCCAAAACCGCTCCTCGGGTTGCAGGCTGCTGAGCAGCTTTTCCAGGGCCGCCGCCTTTCCCTGCGCGGAGGTGCGAGGGGTGAGAGGAGTGGGCAGCGCGCGGTGCGCGGGGTGCAGCTTGCCAGGCGGCTGAAAGCGTGGCACGGTCTCAATGGAACAAAGGCAAGGCCCCTCTTTCCAAGCCCTGCAAATGTTGTAGTACAACGAAATGACAAAGTCCCACTTTCAAAACCTTTCCACGGGGGATGCTTATTTGCTGTTTCCTCGTAACTAATCCTATACTAATTAACCAGAGGTCACAAAGCCAAACTTTCCTTTAGAACTTTAGAGTTTGCACCTACCAACTGAACACGCAACAATCTCGAATCCTTCTCAGGGATCCCTGCATTGCAAGGCCTTTGCTTTCCCTGCCTGGCCTGCCTTATGTATTAATTGCGAAAGTTTCCAGCAAGAAGCCAACAAAGGGTTCCCTATTACACTGCCTGCACTTCTTCCCTGCCTGGCCTGCCTCCCCTCGAGCGATGTATGTGAACTGGGGGATTTTGTCCAACAATGTCCAACACAAAGTAATTTCGCAAGGTCGCCGAAGCACACACTTCACTAGTTGTCTGTCAATCTTTCCCTGCACTAATCTGTGCTGACCGAAACCAAACAAAATTCCCTTCCAAAGTTACCGCAACCCATTTACACAGTTACATCTTAGGCCAGGGATGAGTACATTTGCTTCTGAGGGAGCCCTTAGCTGAAAAAGCCAATATTCATTATTAGGGGGCCGTATTCATGGAAGAGACTAGTAGTTTTGGAATCAGGGGGTAGGTGTTGGGTTTCTGAGCAAGGTAGTTGTTCGCGGACTTGTGAGAAGGGTTCGTGAGGTAATCTCACTTCCCAAGTTGACTGGCCAAAAAAGGTCCGAACTTTTTATTTACCACTAAAATTTGGTCTTTCCGAAAAGTTTAAAGTCCACCAACTCAGGAAGTGAGGTACTTGGGGGTCTAGTTTTTGGAATCAGTGGACACGGAGCCTCGTTTGGCACCGCCTCTAGTGCCCCCCTTGCCTTTCAGTGGGCGTCAGATTTCACTTTTGGAGGGGGGAACGCCCCCGAATAAATGGGACGCGCTGCTCTGATTGATTTGGGGTCAACATTCTGCGCGTGTTTTTTTTTTTTGTGAGGGTTGCCTTCTTGGGGGTGGTTTTGGAAAAAGATGAGGAAAACACGAGAGATCTTGAACCCGACCTGTTCGCTGGAGGCATCTGTTCCACTCGAAATCTCTGGCCCTTTGAAGCCAGATTTGGCAAAGCAGAGGGACGCAATCCAATAACTCGTGTCTAGAGCTGGACTAGGGCTTCTGGAAACAAAGGAAAGCCCAGTCCAAACGCCTTTTCCAAGAACCAGCCCATGAGCCCAGCAAAAAAAAATAATCCCCGGACTTCCGCCCTTGAGGGGGAAAAAACCCAACCTTGAGGGTTGAACATGTCCAAAGCCCGCGCGACTCGGCTCTTGGCGCTGCCTGGAGCTTCTTGCTGAGGTTGGCCTTCAGCATGCGCTCCACGTTCTCCCAGAACCAGTTCCAGGCCACTTCATGCTCAGAGTCCCAGCCCTGCGCATATGACCCCAAACGACCCCAAACGGTTCGAGATGTTGTTCCGCATTTTTCCAGTCGCAATGAAAAGCTGAGGTGGGCTGGTGGACATGAATCCCCCAAACGTCATCAGTCCCTAAATTCACATAGGTCTGAGCTCCTCATGGACCCCTCTGTTGGTCTGGGGAAGCCAACATGAAACCGTCGCCATTGCAGGAAGCCAAGAATCCAGGGATCGCCCCACGTCAATTTTGCCGTGACGACCCATGCGATGTGGGTGCCGCAAATCCCTCTCCCCCACACATCTGGCCCCTCTACTTTTCGAATCCCAAAGGGTAGGATGAAAGGAGCCTTGGAGAAACATTTGTTTTTGGGGTCAGATTTGGGAGGAGCTACCAAAACCTGTGAGCAAATGTTTGAACATCAATTTGCTTCCATTGAAACCATACAAGCTTTGATGCAGAGTTGGCATGCCTTGACAAAATGTCTCGTTCCTTGGAAAGGAGCATGCTGCTTGTTCAACCAGTACGCGGTCAACTACTTGCATTAGGCGGGGACGGGCCGGCAGAAACATGAATCATGGCGTGTCCACCGCCTATGTTCATCCTGAGGATGCTGCGACCCAAAGCAGGTAATGCCACAATGCCACAACATAATCCCAACACAATGCCTCTGCAGCCCATCCAGTACCACCATGAACAGTATTAGGCAAAGCAAACATGTCCAGGAATTGTTTAAGCCTTTTCCGGGCTGTAAGTTCGCCTGCAAATGTTGCGAGTGTGCAGCTATAGCAAATTTCTGTACAGCTCCCACAGTACACGAGGAAGAAGACATTTTAAGTGCGGAATTCAGCAAAGTCGCGGGTCTGGTCCACTAGCTGTGTTGGCTCCACCAGGCTCAGAATAGCTGAAAACACAGCCCCAGTTGTGTTCGCACTGAACGCGACCTATGTGAGTGCTTCCTGAAACAAGTGAACTCGGGGGTTCCTTCTGGTTCCCACTCAAAATCACCCAAGGCGTTCCCACAATTAGGCCACTCTCATGCAGAACAACAAACGCCACAGGCAAATGCCTTCCTCCGACACAAAGCAAGATTGGGTTGGGCCACTCTTTTGGGCTTGCTGCAGATACTTGAAGATAAGTTCAGTATCTCACCAACAAAAAAAAGTGTCACGAAACAAAATGCATCCCCATCAGGAAGATCGCTGGCCCGTGTTTAAACATCTTAAATATGTTGCAGGTTTGTGTGGGTGTCTTGTTCTTGAAACGCTCCCTCTCCACCCAGGAAACTGTTTTAACATGGCACCACCGCCACCGGAAGTAAACAATTTCACCCTCATAAACCGCTTAAACTTGGTTTGACCGTGCTGCAACAGAGTACTCTGAACCATTTCTCTCCCAGGTCCTTCCTATTCTGTGTAACTAACTAATTGTTGCGGTGTATACTTCAAAGGATTGCACAGTAGGGATCGCTTAAACTTTGTTTAACTGTGCTTCAACAAAGTACTCTAAAATGTCCATGTGCGCTTACTTGATGGAAAATGATTCAACACCAGCCTCTTGGGATGATGATTGAATGTCTGAACACACTTAGTCTGTGAACGTATTGAGGCTTTTGCTACAGTTTCACGTTCAATAGCAATGCCTTTCCTGCCACGTGCCATCTATTTGGTCTTTCTTTGATTCGCAAAATTCTGCCACAACTAGGTCCTCCAGTAGAGAGGTTAGAATAAGGGTAACCTTTTTTCTTTAGTCGATTTTAGTAGGGGAAGCCTCACCCAAAAAAGGGGTAAAACGGCACTACTACTGGGGGACCTAGACAAATTTGGGCGACATGTCCATCACCAGGTGCCCCGGATGGAAGCAAACCCTGGCCGAGTGATGAACCCCGATTTCGGGGACACCCACCAATCAAAATCAACCAGAGGCGAATCTGTTGCTATTTCCAGGGCTGTCCGTTTTCTGATCCCCTGCTAAAAGTGAATAAGCGGGTTAAATTCGGACCCCCAACCAAAAACTCCTAAAAACTCCTAAAAACTCCTAAAAACTCCTAAAAACTCCTAAAAACTCCTAAAAACTCCTAAAAACTCATAAACAACTCCTAAAAACTGGTTAAACACTGGTTAAAAACTGGTTAAAAGCTGGTTAAATCGGATGGCCGGGAACCCTCCCGGGCTGAGCAAACCCAACGCCACGCCTTGGGCACCAGAGACCGCAGGGACGCCAGCACCACGGCCCTGAACCTGGGGGGGAGCTCCCCCCATCGCGTTTGAACGCGGAAACCCCCGTTGCCCCTTAAAAAACCTCACCCCTTCGGGACACTCGGAGTCTCCCTTGGCCCAAGGTGTTGAAAGTCACAAAGGGAAACAAAGGGACCCATGCGAAAGGTCATAATTGACACTCACCTTGGCCCAACAAGGAGCTGCAAACCACAAAGGGAGAACAAAAAGGGGACCCCTGCGAAAGGTCACAATTGCCCGAGCTGTCGCCCAGTCTTGGCCAAGGAGGTTGAAAAGCTTGCGACACGTGGAGCCGTGTAAAGCAACTACCTAGATAGCCAAGTGGCTGTTTTTGTTCAGTCACTGTTGCTGTTTTTTGGGGTAAAGTGCATGGAAACAACATGCCACTGGCAATCCAGGTAAGCCCAACCTCCTGGAACCTTCCTCTTCTCCCTGAAAGCTAAACCCCAAGGCCGTCTCTGAGCCCCGCACTCGCTGAGGAGAATGGAGCCCTGATACCTGCATGCCGCCCCGGTGTGGGTTAGCCCATCCAAGGACGATGGGAAGGAGGAGGAGGAGGAGGAGGGCTGCAGGGGTTGCTTTCTTGTGTACCCCCCCCAATAAAAAAGGGTAAATCCGGGGATGGTGGTCTCCAAAAACAAGGAACCCCAAAAATGGCAACGGTGGCCTTTTTGGTTTTCCTTTACCCACAATTCACCTAGAACCTGACAGGGGGGTCCTGGTTTGGACCATATTCCTTTGTAAAGGGACCCCCTGTCAGGTTCCATGTTGATTGAGGGTAAACCAACCCCAAAAAAGGGGAATTACCCTCAAACACGAGCACACACACACACATCCAGCAGTAAGGCTAAACCTTTATGGCGGTGTGAATCGCCGTGTGTGTTGACATGCGACTTCGGTGTGCCTCAAACTATTGGTCTGGAAAAGGCGCCAACGTGGAGAGGTGTCAAGGGAATCCTTCAAGCACTCGGTAGCTCCGCGCGCTGGCAGTCAATGCACACTGGTTCCAGGCAAGCTTGCACGAAAGTCAGCCAAAACTGGGTATATGAATGTGTCGTTTCTTCAAAAGACCCCCCCCCCCCCAAATCATGGTGTTCCGCTCCTTTGACCACCAAAAGGGTACCCTCAAACAACAAAGACCACCCATGTAGTTCATGTTGCGCAGTGGATCCCATTTACCACTAGAGTAGGTGACCAACCAGCAATCCGTCCCGTTGAGCCCTGAAGGGTGGCAAGCTCGTGGAATCCCGCAGCTCCTTTTGCAGCTTGCCGCCTTCTCCCGCTTCCAGTCTCCAAAATGGGTTCCACTACCCCTAAGCCGAAGCTACCCCTAGGGTAAATTGGGGTATATACCCTCAATCTTAGTGGCAGTGTGGCTGTATATTTCATGAAACCCCTGGGTCCCGGCAGCTTCGGTTTGGGGGTTCCAAAACCATCGTCAGGCATTGCCATGGGAACAAAGGGAGGTGAGGCTGATGTCAAGCCAAGCGAACCCTCAGCCATGGAAGCCGAAACACGCGAAAGCCAACTCGTTGCCACAAAAACCATGCGGGGACTCTGCGACAAAAATCAAAAACGAGTTTTTTAAAAAGCGCGGCGCTGCGCATGATTGATTTTATGTTGGGCGTTCTTTCACAGTGTTTTGTTCAACAGGTTTGTTTTCGGTATCCATGTTTGGATACCCAAGCAACCAAGGCTTAGCCACACATAAATCTGTCCACATCCGAGCCCACCTTGACAAGAGCAAGGACAGCACGTCGCACTCCTCCTGCAAGCGGTAGGAGTTGGCGACGTTCATGACCATCACGTCCAGTTGCACGAGGATCGGCTTCATCCACTGACCTCTCAGGAATGATCAGAAAAAAATGGCTATGGGTCAAAACCCCAAACTCTTCCAGTGAACATCCCAATCCCTCTAAAATAGGTTCTAAAATGGGTGGTGCACCTACCCCAAAATGGGATCCCATTGGTGTTGACCCACGGCCATATGTATATTGTGTCGTTTTTGTTTCAGGGACCACCTGATACCTGTTTAAGTGGTTTTGCAGGGAAACAGCAAGGAACCAGCAAGGACACCGCAGAGAAATGGGGATCCCCTAAAAAAAGACACGCCCAGGGGTTGGGAAAAGGGGCCTGGCGGATATCATGGGATTTCTGTCCACCAACTATTTTGGAGTGAGCTCCAAGTCATTCATCTTAAATAACTCGCAAAAAGGATGGCGTTACACTCTTGCGTGCTGATGCAATTAGGAGAACCCCCTCAAGGCTTAAAAAAAGGGGAACCTCCCTCAAGGGATTTGGTTCCCTTCTTGTTTCCCGACGAATCGCCCAACAGAACCCTCAAGAAGCTCAGGTTCTATCCCCAGCCCCAGATCCCGCCCTTTGAACCTTCCTTTTGAACCCTCCCTGAAAGCTGCTCTGAACCACTCCGAAGACTAGCTGGGCACAAAACCCGTGGCTGAAACAGCTGAAGAGACAAAGACCTACGCGCCTAACATGGAATCGGCCTGAGGGGTCCTGGAAGACTATGTTCCTAACTCGGTTCCTTTCTGCTCCCCTTCTAAGAGTTTAACTGTTAGTGGTTTAATGGAAAACCCATTAGTTGGCAAAAAGTTAAAGCCCTAATATCCAAGTAAAATGCACCAAAGGGTTCCATGGCAAGGTGACCCTTTTCAGATTGGTGAAAAAGCCAAAAGGAAAATCACAAGTTTGGGTATTGACACATATATACCCCAGCGGACAGAAGGGTACCCGCTCCATTCATTGGCTGGTGCACACCACCGTTCAAAAACCTGGTTTCTGATATGATTCCCAAACGCAAATAAAAACAAACAATGGCTTCACCTGGTTTCATTTCGTGGTGCGAACGCATTTCGCCACCATCCACAGGATTGAACAACCAGGGGTGTAACTGCATCCGGGGTGAACATTCGCTCGTGTTCGAAGAGGCCAATTCGCTCATCCGGCTGAGGCCTTTCCGTTTGGACCAATCCGTTGGACCCGCAAACCACAGCTTGGGCAAATTGGGGGGACACTAGAGGCGGTGCAAAACGAGAATCCGGGTCCACTGACTCCACTTGGGTCCTCGGCAAAGCTAGTTTAAGTTGTTGGGCAACCTATATCCCCGTTCAGTGGCGTTCAATCTGTTGTAAGGGCGTGAAAATCCCGAGTTGCAATCCCCACTTACTAACTTGGCAACAAACATCCAAATAGTGACTACATCAGCTCAAAAATGGGCATAGTTCCAATAGTGCTTAGATGCCCTTTAAAAAGCAACAGGGGCGAAAATCAACACATCGGTTCTTAAGCCAAAAAAGAAGGAAGCTAAGTAAACAGAGCCACTTCCTGGGCTTCATCCCACGCCACGACCGGCCGTCGCATCGCTGGGTCGCTGGCTGGCGCCGAAGCCCATCACCGCGGCGTTGAAGAGGAACATCTCGTTGAAGCTGCCCGGAACCTTTACGACATGGTTCGATGCGCCAACTCGGTTAGTGGGGATCGCCGCTTGGGGCTTTAACCCTCATAACAGCGTCAAACCCACTGAACGGGGGAGTCATAAGTGGGTTATAGCCTAGGTTACCAACAATAGGGTATAACCCCTTATAACAGGGTCAACCCGTATAACAGGGTATAACCCCTTATAACAGGGTCAAACCCACTGAACAGGGGAGTCATAAGACTTGAAATATAACCAAGCTTGTAGCCTGGTCAATCCCACTGAACCTTCCGAGGATCTTTGAGTCGCCCACTCGGTTCGTGGGGATCGCCCAAGTGGGGTGGTTCACCTCCTTGTAACAAGGTCAAACCCACTGAACGGGGGAGTCAGAAGTGGCTGATAGCCGAGCGGTTACCATTACAACTGGCTAACTTGGCGAATTGAACACCCAAGTAGGGGAAGTCACCGAAGAAATGGGTCAACAAACGTGTGTTTAAAACCCCCGGCAAAATCAAGGTCACCAAAAGAGGGGCCTCTCGAGGACCTCCTCAGAAGCGACTCGGACGCTCTGGGGTCAATGGGAATATCCGCAAAAGATTTGCTCAAAAGCGTGTAGCTCATTTAGGAAGCCTCGAATGAACGCTTCTAGTGCAGTCTCGTTGCCGCATTGCTGGATGATTTGGATGCTCCACGGATTCTGTAAGCAGATTCAATCCTGATCAAAAGGAAACTGACAACTCCTGTCACACTAGCCATAACTATGACTTTCTTGAGTGTGTTGATTCACGAAAAGACTCTTTTGATGAAGTTCCTTTTGAAGCACCGCCCCCCCCTTTTCACGGATCCAGAGAATTCAACAAACAATGACATGCGGTCCTCCAAATGGTTGGCTTTATGGAGGATTCCTTGCTCAAACTATCCCCAAACAGGGGCCTAGCTCTGTCACACAGCCACATGTCAGACTTCACAGATTCAACGCATAACATCCACTCCCGAGATCACTGGATTTCCCTCTGAATCGATCGCCACTTTTGGAGGTTCCAAAAATCCGCAATGGAGGACACCCTGTTTACCCACGCCCCGCCAAAACAATCGCGCCTGGATGCCCTGCGCGGTTTGGTCACCTCAGCTGGGCTGAGGTTTACGTGAGAAGGCGCTTTTGAAGTCTGCGAGGCCTCGCTGAGGGGAGCTCGTTTTAACTGGGCTGCCCGTTTTCTGATCCCCCGCTAAAATGACTAACTTGTGGGTTACATGGAAACTACCACTAAACACTCGAAGGCTAAAAAACAAAGAAACCGGATGGCTGGGAGCCACCAAGTTAAGAGGTAGCCCTCTTTTAGAACCACCGGGATGGGTGGTTTCTTTGTTGAATCCCCCCTTTAATTAAACCACGAACATGTCTTTGTTGTGGTTTCATTGTTCAAGAACAAACTTTTCATCTGGGGGCGGTCCGCACAAATTCACTGGGAATTGCAGGATTCCCCTAAGAATTCCTGCGATCATGGATCTGGCTAACAGCTCATAATTGTTCACAAAAAGCTACTGATGACCATCTCGAATTTCATTCTTGCTGATTCAGAGCCGACTCGCCGAACAAAAGTGAGACTAGGAGTGGGAAGAGCCCACGGGAGGCCTGATAGTGGAAAAAGTCGATTCAAGTGTGAGCTAGGTTCGATACACTCTTTTTGGTTGGCTCTAAAGGGAAACCAAAGGGAAACCAAAGGGCAACCAAAGGGACACCACTAAGCTTTTGGGCTCCCTCAAAAAAACAGATAGACCCCTTATGATTGATAGAACGCCAAGTCTTAAGTGCAGGATATGTCCACCCACTGATCTATTCCGTGTTGCAATTTGACGCCAAGGTCCGAAATGGGAGTTGCCTCTCGGGTCGCGCGTGCTTTTATCTGTCAAACTGGGACAAGGGAACCATAGGGAAGTGAAAGCCCATCCACTTTTTGAGAAGTTTACAGGCGAACCCGACATACACAATACGAGCGGATGTTTTGGGAGCCCTCGTTTGGGGTCCATGCGACATCTGCAGAGCACTGCAGATTAGGTCGTGGAGTCGGTGCTGAGAGCCCTGCGCTTCGCCGAGTCTATCTCTTGCAGCGACTTCTTCACATCTGGCCAGTGTCAAAACTGAAAGGCTTATCTGATGGATGCACCAGCAAAACGAAAAGGTGCTAGGGGCCAAATTGTTTTCTCTTCCACAGCTGAGAGCTACGGAGTCTTTTCCCAAATAGTCTTCGGGGTGGTTCGGAGCAGCTTTCAGGGGCAGGGTTCAAAACCAGATTCGGTTCCCTTCGGGGGTTTCGTAGGCTGTTGGGATACCCGAGCTTTACGATCCACCTACTGGAAACAAGTTTTGGGATACCATCCCTTTAGGGATACCTGAACCAAATGATTCCAAGCAACTCAAGGAGTGTGTGCCTCGCTCCAGTACTCGCGAATGCGGATTTGTGGGAACCCATGCTCACCTCTATCTCACAGCGAGCGAAAAGGCGAACAGACGTTCCCTGGTAAATGTCAAGGTAAAACTACTCAAAAACCACGGCATTTCTCCGGGAGGCTTTCAAAAGAGCGCAAGTCAGTCTTGGGATTTGGGAGGGTTCCGTGCTCACTTTCAAGAGAGCACGACAACACCGGGGACGCCGGGAGAGAATTCGGACTAAAGGCCGTAAACCTTGGGAGATCAAATCAACGGCACCCCATGAATGTTTGGCCACATGGTTGTGAGCCATTTCTGTTGGGCGTAACTACCCTTCTGGAGGCTGGATGACTGGAGTGTTCAAAATCGCTCACCTTTTGGGATGCTGCTATCACCTATGTCAACCCCTTTACTCACTTTATGTACGTTGCATCTGTGACAAGCAAGCACCGTCAAGATGCATGACTATTTTTGTGAGTGTCTTTTTTGAGGGTACTAAGGAATCCAAAAGGACAATGACCATTTGTGCGGGTCCCCGGCAAAAAGACGGACCCATGGCAAAAAGACGGAGCCATGTTCTTCGAAACTCAGGGACAAGTGCATGACCCGTACTTGCCACCACTTGCCACCTGCTGGTTGATGATCACGGACAATTCAGTCTCATTTCGATTCTAGGTCCTCCAGTAGAGAGGTTAGAATAAGGGTACCCTCTTTTCTGTAGTCTATTCTAAAATAGGGGAACCCTCCCAACCAAAAAAGGGGTGAGAAAGGGCACTCAGCTGGGAGACCTAGCATTGGATTTTGACTGTCCATCTGAGTTTTCCCCGCTCAGCGATCACATGATTGCAAATAAAGCAATGCGGGGAGGGATAGAGAGAGAGGCTCAGAGGGAGAGCTTCGCATTCTCAAGTCGTCGCTTCGGCTTAGCCGCTGAAAGGCTGATGTGCTCAGTTGTTCCCCTCTCCAGATGGCTGACGAAAGAAGACACCGCACAAGGGCCGTCCATTCTGGAGTAAGCAAAGGAAAACCATGCGCCACCCAGTTGGTCTGCAAGCCTGACGCGTAAGGATGCAATCCTTCGCAAACCTACGCTCGGCACGCAACATGGCCATCTGTAAAAGCGCCGCGTGTCTCGCGCAACTACCCCCCCCCCACCAGCCATTTGCGCAGTTGTGCCCCTTGGTAAAATGCATAGCCATATCAAAAAGTGCAGAGGGTTGAAAAAGGTATGGCGGCGGGCCGTGCCACCATCTCTACTCTTGGTATGGTAGCAAACAACTTTGTGTTTTGCAGACCCCCCGGTAAAAATGAACAGAACCAAAAAACTAAAAAAAACATGCCAAGAACCGTGAAGCTACCTTCTGTGACCTTGAAACGAGTTCCCGATCCCTTCCTTCTCCCTCTTCGACGTCTTCTTCAAGGCCGTCCTGCGCGTAAGAATTTTTCACGAAGGCCGAGCCAAGTGAACGGGAGCGCCCGTTCAGGGGCACGCGAGAAAATGGGAAATCGCGAGTCCGCGCGCGTTTTTTGCAATGCAACACTGAGCTCTCAGATCCCCTGCTAAAAGTGAACAACTTGTGGGTCAAACGGAAACCCAACCACCTTTCACTAACTGCAAACCTCACCAAAGTAGCTGGATGCCAAGAATAGACACTCCACCAAACCAACTGAAAACCACCCGAGGAACCGGATGGCTGGGCAAGAACACGGCAATGCCGGTTGCATGGAGCACGAGCTGGGGCTTTGCAGACGCTCTTTGCTTCCCCCCCCCCCCTTTTTTTGCGTTTTTTTTTTTTTGCATTTCCTTGCCTGGTCACGTGTTGGCCGCTCCCCCCCCCCCCCCCCCCCGTTTTTTTGGGTGTTTTGTGCATTTCCTTGCATGGTCACGTGTTGGCCGCTTGGCAGCTGCCGCTTGGAGAATCTTCAGAATCAGACCCACGGGCCAGGGTCCGAGAGAGCGCCCGCTCCAGTTGGATTGAGTGGGACCCGATTTCTCACTTCCGATCGAGTGGATCGGCCAACAAAAAGTATCCAAGCTTTTTATTTAGTATTTAGAACTCAAATGGGCTTCCCAGAAAAAAAAGAGAGCTTAAAGTTTGGTAAACATGAAAGTTCAAACGTTTAATTTAGCACTAAAATGGTCTTCCCTTAAAGTCCAAGAACTCATCAAGTGAGCTGCGCCAAAAGAAACTGCCAATTTACGCCGCTCGAGTAACTGGACCTGGTGGACGCCCGAAGCGGACGCGGGCGAATCTTCTCAAAACATCACAGTGGTCTGCGATTGTCACTGTAAATCTTGGCCCAGCAGCGAATGAGAATGGAATTCCCCTTATAAACCATCCAACTGGTGGTTTCCTCTAGGGGGACCAAAGCCTGGGTTCATTCCAACTCCTTCCCTACTGAGCGGCTGCCTTATGGCTCCTTTGGAAAGCGCATCAAGCACATCTAAGAATGAAGCCGAGTGTGGACAATGAGTAGGTGGAAAGAAGTGGTACACCGGATTGTGGGAATGAGGGAATTACAGAGACCTTGGCCTATATACATCTGGGGTACGCAGAACACAACATTTCTTTGACTCCACGCTATATTTGGTCTACCTGCCAATATGCTGTAACATAAGTTTGGAGGACCCAAGGAATGTACAGGTGCAACCCTACTGCCAAAAAACAAATCCAAAACTCGGCCGCACGTGAGTCCTCCTGCTTTGCAGTGTCCACATCGACCAGCGCCTCGCACATGTTTGCAGTGCAAACTACCCTCCTGAGAATGGAAGTGGACAGGAGACCTGTGAATTGCTGGAAAGAGGGCTAACAAATCTGTAGGCAACTGTGCGCCAACATTGTTTGCCCTTTGACAGAGACACAATCAAAACCGGTATTAAAAATGGTTGACCCAGTGTAAGGAAATACAAAGGCGGAGTCCCGAAGCTGTTTCTGGCTGGGAGTGTCCCTTAACCTTTAGCTACCCGAATCGGTTTTGAGCAAGTGGCTCATGTGCTGTTCATCGCTGCCGCACCTGACTGCGGAAAATTCGAGCCTCCGGCACTAGCGCAACATACTGTGGATGGACGAAATCTGTTCGCACCACTTTGAAACCAGGGGAAACCATTTGTTGTTGGTATTTGTTTAGGAATCATCATTCCAGGGCCTCTTAGGTGGTGCAGGAATTTGTCCATCCACAGTATCCAACGTGTTGAATGTTGCCACTGATTGCATCCCGGCTGCCTCACTTGCCACTTAGGGATCACTTTGTTTTTGTTTGGCCATGACTAAACATGGACCAAAGAGGGAGAACCAAAAGGTCACAAGGTCGGATTTGAACAACTCAATAAGGATTGAGGCAACTCGTATCATTCTTAACTCCGCGTTCACAAGACCGTCTTTCGAATTGAAGTCGTACACGTGGCTGTTCCAACTGGTCACTGAAGTTGATGCAACCGCAATGTCCAGTGAAGACCTGCACACTTGCCAGCCCCCAATTTTGCAGAGTGTTTGGCCCTCTCCGCAAATGGGTGCGCCCGTTCCTCAGGGTAACTTTTTTTGGGTTGGTTACAGGGCGTCGGATGGCTTTTGTGGGCCTAGCCTTTGCCGGATAAGTTAGTCTCTGTGGCTGGCGCAGTTAGCCTGGTCGTAAATCAGACATAGCCTAGAACACCTAGGTCCTCCAGTAGAGAGTTAAAATACGGGGTACCCTTTTTTCTGTAGTCTATTTTAGTAGGGGAACCCTCCCCCCAAAAGGGTGAGAAAGGGCACCAATTGCTGGGGGACCCGGACACCCCGCACTTACCATCTCGGCCGACGCCATTTTCGGGAGCCCAAACGGCCGGATGTTCGTCGGCTCGAGTCTCGCCTTCCGGGTTGCATCCGTCCAGCTCGACAGGAGGAGGTTGATGCGGCCCGAGTACTCGCGGCCTCAAGGCGATCACGTGGGCTTGAGGCTTGGGAAAACCGGCGTGTAAGTTGCACATGCCTGGATCCTGAGTTGCTCTTTGCTTTTTGTCTCCACCTTACCCCAAAAACCAGCAACAGTGACTGGAAAAAAGCAGCAACTGGCTATCTAGGTGAATTTGACTCAGCTTTCGGCGAGGTCTGGATGTGGAACTATACGGCGAAACGGGCCTCTGTTGCAAATGGGTTGTACGGTGGCTTCCCCCAACACAAACCAAGGATTGTTACAAGCAAAGAATGTGGGCGGCGTAAGCATACACATGACACATGACTCAGGCAGTTCATCACTGAATATGGGGTCATTGATTCCATCTCTACTCTTGGTATGGTAGCAAAAAACTTTGTTTTTTGCAGACCCCCAGTAAAAATGAACAGAACCAAAAAACTAAAAAAAAAAAACATGCCAAGAACAGTGAAGTTTTGGATTGTTTGGCAACTTGGCTATGTGTCTCAAAATCCGCGGGGTATTGACCCCCAACATCTCATTTCCTGGGTGGATGGGAAACAAACAAGTCCGAACTTTTTTCGTATTTACCAAACTGGTCCAACCCCAAGAAGGGTCTCCAGACTGGCTTCCCCTTAAAACAACCTTTAAAAAATCCCTAAGCCGCAGATCGCTTGGATCACTTGATGGCCCCTCCAAGCTCGAAGCGGATGAAGATGAAGGCGCCGCCAATGTAATTCAGGATGGCCTTAGACACATTCAGCGTGCCTCGCAGTTTTTGTTTTCTTGGTTTGCTGGGCGTGAATCGTTTTAAATACGCGAGGCGTGATTTTTTTTTACTGGCGTGTTTTTGCTTTCTTTTTTCCCGCTCGTGGACACTTGGCGTGACTTAATTATCTCAGACACCTGGTCGACCGCCTGAAACAGGGGTGAGGGAAATGGAATCCACGTCGCTGATGCAACAAAAAGGGGTGCCAAAGACTAACCCCCCCTGGATCGCCAGTTGCGTTTTTTTTTCTCCATGCACTTTTCCCCAAAAACCAGCAACAGTGGCTGAAAAAAGCAGCTACTTGGCTATCTAGGCCCTTCTAAATTCAGGGAGAAGATTCCCTTGTATCGCAGAAGTGGTTGGATAAAACCCTTGATTTCACAACCCTGCCCAGGAGAGAACAGCAAACTGCCGAAAAAGAGGCAGAAACCGCCCGTAGCCATCGCCAGGGCACAGCGAGACCATGTCTGGCGTTCGCGGAAAAGCCCCGGTTCAGCTCCTGCAGCATAAGTCGCTTGCCACGGGCGAGGCAGTTCGGGTGAGGTGTCCCCGCAACATGACAAAACAAGGGTTGCGGGGCTCTCCTGATTCTCAAATGTTCTAACGATCATGGTCATCTAGGTCCTCCAGTAGAGAGGTTAGATAAGGGTACCCTTTTTCTGTAGTCTATTTTAGTGGGGGGTGCTCTCCCCCAAAAAAGGGTAAAAGGGCACCACTGGACCTAGTCATATTGTCAAACCTCGGTTGCTTTCTGCTCCCCTGCTAAAAAACAATGTTTTAGTGGTTTAATGGGAAACCCATTATAGTTGGCCAAAAGTTAAAGTCCTAACATCCAAGCAAAATGCACCAAAGAAACGACGAGGCCCCCCCCCCCTTCCCGAATGTCCGGGAGACTCATTTGACCAGGCGCTCGAAGGACAGAAAAGAAGAGCCAAGAGCCACAAAAGAAGCCACGAAACGCACGAAAGCAGCGACAAAAACAAAAGTACACAATAAACATACACACACACAGTGCTGTTTGCCATGGCTACAACTACTACTTCTTTCGTCGCACCAATCATCGCTTTCTTCATGAATATACTGCAATTTGTCCGCGTGAGTCATAATCAACACTTGATTTTAGGATGGTCTACTCAAATCCATGTAAGGACATTAAAATGCATATTCCCGCACCTAATTATTTTTGGCTGGGACTGGCCCCTACTAACCTTCATCTACCCGCTCGGTTTTGAGCAAGTGGCTCACATGAAAACGGCCTTTGCTGGTTGCCACGACCATGGTTCCTAGGTCCTCCAGATTTGAGAGGAAAGATAATAAGTCAACGTACCTGGTTTTTCTGTAGTCTATTTTAGTAGGGCCTCCAGTAGAGAGGTTAGAATAAGGGTGCCCATTTTTGTGTAGTCTATTTTAGTAGGGGGAACCCTCCCAACCAAAAAAGAAAAGGGAAGAGCAGGGCACCATTCGCTGGGGGGCCCTAGACAAATTTGTGCGACATTTCGATCACCAGAGGGTGCCCCGGATAGCAAACCCCAAAAGGGCCGAGTGAACCCCGATTTCGGGGACACCCAATCAAAATCCCCGCAGGGGCGAATATGTTTTCATTTCCAGGGCTGTCCGTTTTCTGATCCCCTGCCAAAAGTGAATAACCTAAGTGAATAATCAAAATCAAGCAGGGACCTGGGTTCAAACCCACGCGCTTGCTCTGCCACTGCTGGGGCGGAGGCTTCCAAGTACACGCAGGTTTTGTTCGGGGGATCGAAACCGCTCGGACCGAACCAAATCTAGCTGGAGATTTGTACCCCAAAGCAAACAAAAAAACAAATGAAACAGTTTACAGCCTGGAAAAAACAAACAAATGAATCTAATCAATCATGAGATTTCAGCCTGGAATGACACACATGTCTGGAAGAAACACTGTTTACGGTCGCTATTAGCATTGACACCTCATCATTGACACCGCTAGGCACGCTTCAAAGTGCACTCAAACGACTTTCCCACGTGAACTGTCAGTCTGGAGCCAGTGGGAACATGAGTCACAATCAAAACCCGGTACTAAACTGGTCTGCCCAGAACCATGTAAGGAATTAAGAAGGCGGGCGCAGCTATTTATGGTTGGGATTGTCCCTTACCAACCTTCATCTACCCGTTTTTATTATTATTGTGGCTCACACATCTGCAAGACACCTTCCAACACATGCCAGCCCCCCCCCCCCCCCGTCGCTCCATCTCAAGCAGACCCTCGATCGCTTCAACGAAGATGCCCACCCGGGGCACAGTCACTTCCTCAGGTCGGGACGACAATCAGCGGAATAAAACGCGAACCGACCTTTCCCACCCGCTTTGCTCACTTCCTGACAGGATGGGCCAAAAAGGTCTTTGCCAATAAAAAGGCTTTCCTAAAACAAGTTTTGAAGTCGATGAACTCAAAAAGTGGCCATGGGTCAAAAGCCCGAAATCCCCCAGTGAACATCCCAATCCCCACTAAAATAGGTTCTAAAATGGGTGGTGCACCTACCCCAAAATGGGATCCCATTAATTTTGACCCACAGCCATATGTCCACCGCCAAAGAGATGTGGCACTTCGATTTAAATATATATATGTTTTACACATGTCTATAAGTAAATCAATCTGTGAATGCTATACCTGGATCATCCAAAGTGTGTGCTCTTTCTGCCTTTCGTGACAAGCCGCTTTTTCAGACAAAGGCCACTTGTTGTGTGTCTCCAGGCACGTTTCTTTTCTTTACTCTTCTGGGACAAATCCATGAAGGCGAAACGGCGCCTTTCCCGACCGAACGGCACCAATCCCAAACGCAGACTTCCCCCAACCATGTGTTCAGCCAAAATCGAAACGACACGTTTCCAACGAAAAAAGCGCATTTCTTACCAAAGGACTGAACCTGGTGCTTTTTCGGCCGTCGGGAAACTGTTAATTACACCTGGAAAAAGCAGGTAAACTATGTATTAAAATCTCTTAAAATGCCAAGCCAAATGGGCGCCTTATAAACACCTAGGCGTCAGCTTTTCCCTGCTTGATTCATGGAGATGGGGCCCATACGTAGGGCCGAGGGAAAGAGAGCCAAATGAAATAAATGAAGAAATGATGCAGCAAGTTAGAAAACAATAATCAATAATAAAGCAGATAAAGAAAACAATAACAAAGAAAGAAAATAAATGAAGAAATAAATGAAAGAAAATAATCAATAAAAAAAACAATGCAGCACAGACCAACATAATGTAGACCTAGGAACAGAAATATATGAAAAGGAAAAAAAACATGGCAAAGAACCAAAAGACGCTACCTCAATAATACAAGGCAATAACACAAGAAGTTTTTGTCTGTAACGAAAAGCTGAGAGACAGCACGTTGCTGGTTATCTCTCAGAGTCCATCTTTATTTCAAGTGTCTGCTTGTATTTCGTCTATTTATCTTACATTGGAATTTGTGTTGATGTTATAACATAGATAGGTGAAAGACAAAAAAGGGACTTGACACGATATTAACGATGTATGCGTCATCTATCTATCTCTTCTCTCTCAGTTTTTTACATCTTGGATTTCAATAACATATCATTTGTGTCAACCCTGCAGTATTATCTATCTCTATATCATATGGTTAATAATTCATATTCATGTTATCTCTTCATTTCAGTGGTTGTAAAGATGGAATGTAGAATCCTTTGATCTACTCCAAGCGAATGAATGAATCATACAAGAGAGAAAGGGATATATACATATACATATTCAACTACGGTACAGAAGTGAACAATATTATGAGAGATAAATGCAAGGCTTAATATGAAATGATACTATTGAACAAGAAACAATATTGTTTTTTCTATCCTGCATCCCTTCATTTGTCTCTCTGTACATCTATATCCGGATTCATTTTTCTCGATTCCTTCGTACCAGCTCTCACCCGATGACAGTTATATGGCCTGTGGCCATGGCCCCCATGATAGGAAGAACCCCTTCAACCAGATGGCCAGCCCTAGTAACCTCAAGCTTCCATTTGCTTATATTTACGCCCCCTGGAAAAAATACATAAATATAAAGAGTCCAGTAGTGAAATCGATTCCCTTTAAAACCAACAGGGGAAAATAACATAAACAAATCGTCTTAAGCAAATGGAAGCAATCAAAGGGGTGGTCTTTTGACATGTCGGTTCAGTTCGGAGATGAAGCAGTCAAATTGGGCACCAGGGAATAACCATCTCCTCCAGATTTGGGAGGTTAGAATAAGTTGGTACCCGAATTTGTTTCGCCCCACCGAAAGGAAACCTGGGATGGTTCCGGTTTTTCCCTGCGCACCACTTGGAAACAATGACAGGTCCTCCAGTAGACAGAGAGGTTAGAACTAAAAGGGTAACTTGTTTTTTTTTCCCCTATTTTAGTAAAGGAACCCTCCCAACCAAAAAAGTTGGTAAAAGGGCACTACAGGGACCTAGCCACTAACCCAACGTGGCATTGGACGGAGAGTAGAATTGGTGACAGGCAAATCGGCCATAAGGACCGGGGAATCTACATGCCACCCATGTCGACTGAAATTCCAAATTGAAGCATTCAGAACCGAGTGAAAAGATGTCACCCAGGTTGCCACCGTCTTGGCTATCCGGACGGCATCCAGTTCTTCTTCCAACAGCACATCTTTTTTTCCCCAACCAACGGAAACACAGCGCCCACTCCACTGTCCCGTGGATCCAAATGGACAGAGCCCGCGTCCAAGGGCCGTTGGCCTGGAACCACTCGACCCAAAGTTCCGGGAGCAGTCCAAGGGGCCAAGTCCAGATGCTGAAATCCCAAGGTCTCCACCTGGCCGGCGGGACGCCGGGTCTTCACATGCCCAGTGATGATTTTCCAGGAAAGAATCGGCCTCCTTTTTTTTTTGGTTGGCTGAGTTTAAAGGGACCCCTCCCCAAAAAAAGGAAGAAAAGAAAAGGGCGCCGCTGGGCAACTGGGGGGTCTTCAGAAAAGCGAAGGAACGGACAGTTCCGATGTTTGGTGGCTTCCTTTCCACACTTTCTGAGCGGATGGGTCCGAAAAAGTAACCAAACTTATCGTTTAGCACTAAGATTGTCCAACCCCAAAAAGTGACTCAAGTCCGAAATGAAACTCAGGAAGTGAGTGTCTCAGTGTTCCAAACGGGATGCTCCCTGTTCGGAACATGGCTTCGACCCGATTCCTCGCCGGTTTTTTGGGGACAACGCGTAGCCAAAAAAAAACACCTATGTAAGGGTGCCTTTTGAGACATCCTTCCTTCCACTGGAGACTAAGGCGCAGAAAATCATGATGTTCTTCCTTATCTTGCTGGTGCGAGAGATGCAGGGAATGGGCACTAGCAAGCATTCCCACATTCCCTACTGAGCACTAGCAAGCAAAATAGAACTGCTTGGGGGACCCTACGGGCACGAAACTACCAGTACATGTTGGGTCCAGGGGGGGGGGGGGTGGTTGCGGCGCGCTTCGAATGACAGCTTTTGACAAGCGATATCCATCCACTTCAAGCCAGTGTGCGACCCAGCAGGCGGGACAGTGTAAGTATCCATGCTGCCGCCTCATTAGCAGCAAAAACAACACAAACACCACATGCGTTTGCGATTCGAAGAAACAAAGGTCTTGAAAGTGCCGCAAAACAACCCGACGACGTTGCATGTTGCAGCATCCCCTGCGCTTGCGGTTGATCGTTCGGCCATTCCGAGCGAGTGCCGGAAGTACGCGCTCAGCCGAGTGTCCGCGCATAGTCAACCCAAGAAACCTCGTCTGTGTGTGTGTGTGGTGTATGTGTGTGTGTATGTGTGTGTATGTGTGTGTGGTGTGTGCGTGCATGTGTATGTGTATATATATATATATATATATGTGTGTGTGTCTGTGTGCGTGTGTCTGTGTGTGTGTGTTTGTGTCTGTGTCTGCTTGTGTGTCCGTGTGTGTGTGTGTCTGTGTCTGTGTCTGTGTCTGTGTCTGCCTCTGTGTCTGCGCGCGTGCGCGTGCGCGCGGGCCTGGGCGTGGGCCTGGGCGTGCGCGTGCGCGTGTGCGTGTGCGTGCGTGTGCGTGTGCTTTTGCGTGTGTGTGTGCGTGTGCGTGCGTGTGCGTGTGCTTTTGCGTGTGTGTGTGTGTGTGTGCGCGTGTGTGTGTGTGTGTGGGTGGGTGGGTGGGTGGGGGTGGGTGGGGGGGGGTTTAGGGGTGTGCTGGTGTGCTGGTGCGTGTGTGCGTGTGTGCGTGTGTGCGTGTGTGCGTGTGTGCGTGTGGGTGTGGGTGTGCGTGTGCGTGTGCGTGTGCGTGTGCGTGTGCGTGTGCGTGTGCGTGCGCGTGCGCGTGCGCGTGCGCGTGCGCGTGCGTGTGCGCGTGCGCGTGCGCGTGCGCGTGCGCGTGCGCGTGCGCGTGCGCGTGCGCGTGCGCGTGGCGCGTGCGCTGGCGCGTGCGCGTGCGGTGCGCGTCGTGCGGTTCGCTGCGCTAGCGCTAGCGCGTGCGCGTGCGCGTGCGCGTGCGCGTGCGCGTCGCGTGCGCGTCGTGCGTAATGCGCTGTGCGCGTGCGTGTGTTGTGCGGTGCGTGTGCGTGTGGTGCAGCGCTGCGTGGCGTCGTGCGCGTGCGCTTGGCGGGGCCGCGGCGGTTAGGGCGCGGGCGTGGGCGTGGGCGGGGCGTGGGGCGTGGGCGTGGCGTGGGGCGTGGCCGTGTGTGTGTGTGTTTGTGTTTGTGTTTCTGTTTGTGTTTGTGTTTGTGTTTGTGTTTGTGTTTGTGTTTGTGATTGTGTGTGTGTGTGTTTGTGTTTGTGTTTGTGTTTGTGTTTGTGTTTGTGTTTGTGTTTGTGTTTGTGTTTGTGTTTGTGTTTGTGTTTGTGTTTGTGTTTGTGTTTGTGTTTGTGTTTGTGTTTGTGTTTGTGTTTGTGTTTGTGTTTGTGTTTGTGTTTTGTGTTTGTGTGTGTGTGTGTGTCTGTGTCTGTGTCTGTGTCTGTGTCTGTGTCTGTGTCTGTGTCTGTGTCTGTGTCTGTGTCTGTGTCTGTGTCTGTGTCTGTGTCTGTGTCTGTGTCTGTGTCTGTGTGTGTGTGTATGTGTTTGTGTGTCTGTGTGTCTGTGTGTCTGTGTGTCTGTGTGTCTGTGTGCCTGTGTGCCTGTGTGCCTGTGTGCCTGTGTGCCTGTGTGTCTGTGTGTCTGTGTGTCTGTGTGTCTGTGTGTCTGTGTGTCTGTGTGTCTGTGTGTCTGTGTGTCTGTGTGTCTGTGTGTCTGTGTGTCGTGTGTCTGTGTGTCTGTGTGTCTGTGTGTCTGTGTGTCTGTGTGTCTGTGTGTCTGTGTGTCTGTGTGTCTGTGTGTCTGTGTGTCTGTGTGTCTGTGTGTCTGTGTGTGTGTCTGTGTGTGTGTCTGTTTGTGTGTCTGTGTGTCTGTGTGTGTGTGTCTGTGTCTGTGTGTGTGTCTGTGTGTGTGTGTGTGTGTCGGTGTGTTGTGTTGTGTTGTGTTGTGTCTGTGTGTGTGTCTGTGTGTGTGTGTCGGTGTGTTGTGTTGTGTTGTGTTGTGTTGTGTTGTGTTGTGTTGTGTTGTGTTGTGTGTGTCTGTGTGTGTGTGTTTGTGTGTGTCTCTGTGTGTCTCTGTGTGTGTCTGTGTGTGTGTCTGTCTGTGTGTGTGTGTGTGTCTGTGTGTCTGTGGCGGGGTGTGAGGGTGTGTGTGCGTGTGTGTGGGTGTGTGTGTGTGTGTGGGTGTGTGTGGGTGTGTGTGCGTGTGTGTGGGTGTGGGTCGGTGTGTGCGGGTGTGGGTGGGTGTGTGTGTGTGTGGACTTTTGGGGTGGTGTGACACGCAAACCAAAGTGGATAATGGAAAAACAAAAAAACGCTACGGAATTTCTACAGGTGATTTGCCAAAAACCCGCCAAAACGTCCAGTAGAAGCTCCGTAGCTGGTCTCTTAGAAACATTTTGTGGCCTCACATCAATCCGAACATGGATTCCTGTCCCCGCAGGCAGGCTGGGTCTGACATTTTACATCGAGCTGTAAAAGCGCATAACTTGTGGGTTAAACGGAAAGCCAACTAAACCAACTAAAAACAACTAAACACCTAAGTTGAACCGGATCGCCGGGTTTCCAGCCAAGTTTAGATGGGGATGTTAATGTCCACCTGCCCACTTTTTTGAGATCGCGTATGGCCCTGGCAGAGACAATACAGATCCTAGGTAGGGAATGACAACGAGACCGGGGGTTGGGAACTCACCAACAGGGTATTCCCAAATAAAGGAAACCACCAGTTGGATTGTTTCATGGTTTTGGGGTGATTCCATTTCTCATTCCCTGCTGGTACTCAGAGCAAGTGATTGGCCACCCAAATCCATGTTCTCCGCGCATATGGTGAGTGATCGCCTTGCGTGTTCCTTCCGCCCCCGCCTGTATCTTCAGGTCTTTTGGGTTGCCCGCGACGTTGATGCAGTTGCTGAGACCTTGGCCAAAGCTCGCCGACGACTGGGCGTCCACCCCATGTCTGTACATGAATCGTAGCGAACGGTCCAGTAGAACCATGTTGCTCGTGCGTGGTTTTAGCTAGTTGCTCAAAGTCCGCCAAATGCGCCCAGTTCTTTGTGAATCGCTGGGTGAAAGGGGGGGGGCTTTGCTTTGGGCAAAGACTTTGGGTGCGGATTTATTTTGGGATTGTTTTTCGTGTTTTTTTTGTTTTTTTTTGGATTTTTTTTCGTTTTTCGTCCGGGCCAGCAAAATGTCGTATTTTACAGCATTTTCTCGCGAAATTGACGCATTTTACTCTAGCTCGTCAACATCCCCAGCATCGTTTTCAACATCCCCCGCATGTCCGACCAACATCCCTAGCATCACCAACAAATCGTGGGTAACAAAATCAAAAAATGTAGCTGGCGGGTTGACGGGGTCAAAACAATGATGCTTCAAACAGGAGGGCATTTCAATCCCAGCAAAAAATATATACAAAAAAACAATTAAGAAAAACAGAGCGGGGTAGTGATGATTCGAACAGGGGTGCAATTAAATCTCTGCAAAAAGTCTAAAAAGTAGCGGGGGGGTTGGGGGGGGCGGCAGCCCCCCCATGATGTTCGAAGAATTGTATTGATGATTCAACTAGGGGTGCAATTAATTGAATCTCTGTAGAAAATCTAAACGTAGCGGGGGGGGTTGGGGGGGCGGCAGCCCCCCATGATGTCGGAAGAAGTGGTGATTCAAGTAGGGGTGCAATGATTCAAGAAAGGGTGTGATAGAATTTAAAAGGCAGCGGGAGGGTTGGCGGGGGTGGCTTCCCCTATGATGTTCGAAGAAATGCATACATACAGACATACACGGACTACACAGATTACCTAAAATGTCGTATTTTGCAGCATTTTCTCGCGAAATTGGATGCTCGAAAAAGTGATGATTCAAACAGGGGTGCAATTCAATCTCTGCCGGGCCAGTAAAGTGTCGTATTTTACAGCATGTTCTCGCGAAATATACCCCGCATGTCCCACCAACATCCCTAGCATCACCCACAAATCGTGTGACGGGGTCAAAGAAATGATGATTCAAGCAGGAGGGCATGTCAATCCCTGTAAAAAAATATAAAAGTAGCGGGGGGGTTGGCGGGGGCGGCAGCCCCCCCCACGATGTTGTTTGCAGAAGTGATGATTTGAATAGGGGTGCAATTAAATCTCTGCAAAAAGTCTAAAAAGTAGCGGGGGGGTTGGGGGGGGCGGCAGCCCCCCCCCATGATGTTCGAAGAATTGATGATTCAACTAGGGGTGCAATTAATTAGATCTCTGTCGAAAATCTAAACGTAGCGGGGGGGGTTGGGGGGGGCGGCAGCCCCCCCATGATGTCGGAAGAAGTGGTGATTCAAGTAGGGGTGCAATGATTCAAGAAAGGGTGTGATAGAATTTACAAGGCAGCGGGAGGGTTGGCGGGGGTGGCTTCCCCTATGATGTTCGAAGAAATGCATACATACAGACATACACGGACTACACAGATTACCTAAAATGTCGTATTTTGCAGCATTTTCTCGCGAAATTGGATGCTCGAAAAAGTGATGATTCAAACAGGGGTGCAATTCAATCTCTGCCGGGCCAGTAAAGTGTCGTATTTTACAGCATGTTCTCGCGAAATATACCCCGCATGTCCCACCAACATCCCTAGCATCACCCACAAATCGTGTGACGGGGTCAAAGAAATGATGATTCAAGTAGGAGGGCATGTCAATCCCTGTAAAAAAAATATAAAAAGCGCGGGGGGTTGGGGGGGGCGGCAGCCCCCCCCATGATGGTTCGAAGAATTGATGATTCAACTAGGGGTGCAACCCCCCCATGATGTTCGAAGAATTGATGATTCAACTAGGGGTGCAACTAATTAAATCTCTGCAGAAAATCTAAAACGTAGCGGGGGGGTTGGGGGGGCGGCAGCCCCCCCCATGATGTCGGAAAAACGCCACCTGCCGAAGAGGAACTGGGAATGCAGAGGATGCGAAAAGCCAAAAAGCCACCAAAAGCCGCATAAACCAGCAAAAAGCCGAAAAGCCTAGAAGCCCAGAAGCCGAGAAGCCAAGAAGCCGAAAAGCCAAGAAGCCAAGAAGCCAAGAAGCCAAGAAGCCAAGAAGCCCAGAAGCCGAGAAGCCGAGAAGCCAAGAAGCCAAGAAGCCGAAAAGCCAAGAAGCCAAGAAGCCGAGAAGCCGAGAAGCCAAGAAGCCAAGAAGCCAAGAAGCCAAGAAGCCAAGAAGCCAAGAAGCCAAGAGCGAAGAAGCCAAAAGCGAAAAAAAAAATCAAAAAAAAGCACGAAAAACATTCCTAAAATAAATACCCCTCCAAAGACTTTGTTACACAGCAGAAGCTCACTTGGCTGTGGGTCAAAACCCCGGTGCCCGCCTACCCCCTACATCCCCTGTTTCACCAAACAAACGGGGGGTGACCCAAAAAGGTCCCTGGGCTTTGACCACACCACTTTACCAGACCTCCCCTTGGGCAAACGTCAGGCTCCCGGGCCGTTCATGAATCTCATAGCCATCGCGGACCTGCAACGATTGCTATGGCTGGGGCTGAGCATCAGACATAGGCGGCAAACTATTGAAGCTGAGCCCTTGCTCATTTGGGGATGTTGTTTTGCCAAACAAATTTGGGGACCTCTTGGTAGACACCATTGATGTTGGGATTAATGTCCTCCGACTTTTTAGGGCTGCTGGCCGTGAAATTGACGTGTTGTCCGGTCTTGTTGTGCACTTCCAACCATTATAACGTCCTCAAACATGTAGCGATCTCCATCCGTTGACTCAACCGAGTGCTCAAAACCCAAAAGGGATGTGCATAAGGAATGCTCGGAATGCTCTTCAGGCCCAAAGGCAATCCCGGGTAAACCCGGGGTAAAAGCAATGTTGACCCCATATTAATCAGCCCCTGTTTTGTGAATAGGGGGCTGTCCCTAAGTTTAGTGGGGAATCATCACTTTTGCAGGGACCGCCCGCCATATTAACCAACTGGGGTTGACTAATATGGGGTCAACATTATTATTTTTGGAGGCAGCTGATTTTATTTTGGGACACCCCTTCCCAAGGAAAACAGGGCACCACTGGAGGTCCGTGTACAGTGCGTAGCTACCGTGCGATAGTGTGCATCATATACATACGTACATAGTGGCTGTGCTCATTTCGCAAATGTACGGTGAACACACAGACTAGACATAGGGGTGTGTCTTTTTGTGAGGCTACCCACTTTGGTGTAGAAAGGCAAACCAAAGGGAAACCCTTTTGAGCTATCAATGCCACAAGCTCAAAGTTGCGCAGAGTTCGCCGGCAGTGTTTTGGGCCGAATGCAAGCATGGGCTCTATCGAACGTCAGTGGAATCGGCTCGCAGAGTTGATCCACGCGATCTCACATGTTCCCCCCCTCAATCGAGTGTTTCCTAAGATATGGGGGCCACAGATCAAGTCCCTTTCTACGCTCTACACACCCTCCCGTCGCCTTCCTTAAGCCATCCTCGCGACCCTGAAACCAGATTACCTCCCCCCAATCCCCCCTATTCCACCTGCTAGGTTCCCGGTTGAACCACGATCTCACGATCTCACGATCTCATTTTCCCCTCAAACAAGGTAGAGTGGCTTCCTCTGGGCTGTCCGTTGTCTGCTAAAAGCTTTAGCTCGTGGGTACGGAGATCTAACTTCCACGAAACCAACTTGAAAACCCATTTGGTTACTGCCTCAGCCAAGCGTGGACTGGCTTTGCGCATCTTACATCACGTGAGCTGATGAACAATTTCTCTTGCTTCTCCCAGCCCGCCGAGCAAAGCCTAAAACAAATCAAACCTAGAAGCCTAGCAGCGTTTCGACAAAACCAAGCCAAATCTATCTCCACCCAATATCAAATCCAAGTCCAAATCCATGCTCAAGAAAGACCAAAGCACGCCCAAAAGCCCTGAAGCAACTTCAACAAAACGGATGACCATCTGCCAGCTCACTGGATCCAGCATCAAGATATGGTCCCGCTTACGTGTGCTTTCCTTCCTACAGACCAGTGCAATGATTTTGGGCTGAGGCTGGAGTGCCTTGGGAAGGGAGTTTGCGAGCAAAACCGGCAAATGCTTCAGAAACCAGCTGGCATGGGTTAAATGAAAACCCAACCACCTTTCACCAAAAACAACTAAAAAGCAAAGCTGAGCCGCATGGCTGGGAACCGCCAAGAGGCATAGCCAGCAAAGTTCGCCGGGCTGTGTTCTTTTTTGGGGCGCCAAGCCATATGCAAGATGAAAGGAACCACTTCATGTTGACCCAGGATTAATAAACCCCTCCCATTATGGGGGTGGAAACCCCTCCAAAAGTGGTCTGAATCCAACCACTAAAAGGAATTGGACACCCCCCCGATCAAAATCAACCAGGGAGGTTCTGAATCCGGGGTGAACGTTACCCAACCCCTAGACCAACCCACGAAACCCAACCTGAAAAGCCCCAGAATCCCAAGTTGAACCGGAGGATTTGCCTGGCAACCGCCAAGTGTTGCTTCCCCTTCAAACCCCAAAACCTGCACCGAGTCAACAAAAGTTGACCAGGTCCTCCAGTGGAGAGGTTAGACCAAGGGTACCAACTTTTACATCTAGAAACTATTTTAGTAGGGGGTTCCCCTCCCAACCAAACAAGAAACGGTAGAGAAGGGCACCCAGCCGGGAGACCTAGTGCAGTCCTCCGAAAAAACAAGTGTCATGACACAATGTTGGACAAGCAAAGAAAATATGGCCACGGGTCAAAACCCCGTACCCAGGAACATCCCAATCCCCACTATAGAAAATGGATGGTAGAGAAGGGCACCTGGCTGGGGGACCGTTTGTTGAGCCCTTCGGACGCAACTCGCCTGGGGCTCCGAAAGAGGTCCTGCATGGAGGGCGCCGCGTCGAAGATCGCCGCGTAGAGCGCCTCCCCTGACCAAAAACCCGGCGCTGGAAAGACGCGAAGTACAGGCAAACGACAAAGTCATGCCTAAGTCACTCCTTTATCTCTGTGGCCATGTGTTCCCCCATGTAAACGCCGATTCCAAGAAGTCACTCCCAACTCACGCCTCGGCAACAATCCCATGGAACGCTTGACATCACCGAGCTGATCATGCTAAGAAAGCACAGGTGTCAACACATGCAGCACAATGGAGCGCTAATGATGGCAAAGCATGTTTTCCAGCCCTGCGAGGCGTCTGTGAGGCGTCTGCAGGAACACGAAAACCAATGGAACGCTAAGCATACGATAGGTTGTTGCAGGAGAGTTTAGGAAGACATGATACATGGGTGGCCTTTGTCTTGCACCATCTTTTTCGCGTCCAGGGGTTCTTTTTTCTGGAAGTGCGCGCAATGCACCCTGGCAAAAAAACAAAAACAAAAACGAGATCAAAACGAGATCAAAACGAGATCACCGATCGTCGGTTGAAGACTTGAAGACTTAGGCCCACCGATCGTTGGTGTAGCTGCAGCTGGGTGCTAACTCGTTTCGTTTTGTTGTGTGTGTGTGCTGTTGTTTTGTATACTTGTTTGCTCGCGCGCGTGTTTGCTTGTGTGTTTGTTTGCTTTATTGTTTGCTAGTTTGCTTGCTTGTGTGTTGTGTGTTTGTGTGTTTGCTGCTACTGCCGCCACAGGGCGCCTGGTCGTTTCGCGGCGGTTCAGCTGATTTTCTGTCGTCCACGCCGCAGTAGGGGGTGGGGGGGAGGGGGATGGGTCCACGGGGGGGGGGGGGTGGGTGGGGACAGGGTAGCCTCATGTCGGCTACCGCCCCTCCAAATGAACATAGGTGGTTGCCGTTTTGGTTTTCCTTATAACCCTTAAACATGGATCAGATCCGTTTAACCACCAAAAAAGGGCACCCTCCAAAACAGACCCTTTTAACCACCAAAAAAGGGCGCCCTCCAAAACAGACCCTTTTTTAACCACCAAAAACGGGGACACCCTCCAAAACACACGCTTACTACCACCAAAAAAACGGCACCCTCAAAAACAGACCCTTATAACCACCAAAAAAATGGCGGCATCCGCCAAAACAGATCCTTTTAACCACCAAAAAAGGCCACCCTCCAAAACAGACCCTTGTTGAAAAAAGGCAACCTGAAAAGCAGACCCTTTGAACCACCAAAAAAGGGCACCCTCAAAAACAGACCCGTTTAACCACCAAAAAAGGGCACCGTCAGAAACAGACCCTTATAACCACCAAACATGGGGACACCCTCCAAAACAGACCCCATCAAAAATAGACCCTTATAACCACCAAAAAATGGGGTCACCCTCCAAAACAGATCCTTCTAACCACCAAAAAAAGGCACCCTCTAAAACAACCAAAAAAACTGCACCCTCAAAAACAGATCCTTATAACCACCAAACAAATGCAGACCCTTTTAACCACCAAAACAGGGCACCCTCCAAAACAGACCCTTAAAAAAAAGGCACCCTCAAAAACAGACCCTTTTAACCACAACAAAAGGGCACCCTCAAAAACAGACCAAGGCCACCCTCAAAAACAGACCCTTTCAACCACAACAAAAGGGCACCTTCAAAACAGACCAAGGCCACCCTCAAAAACAAAATCTTATGACCACCGAAAAATGGGGACACCCTGAAAAACAGGCTATTTTTAACCACCAAAAGGGCATCCTCCAAAACAGACCCTCATAACCCCAGACTCGAATCGCCACGCCCGGAACCGACTCGAATCTCGAAGCCGCCTGCGGCCTCCTTGGACTTTGAGCCCATGATGAAGGCGGTCCAGGCCTGACCGGCGGTCGGAAGAACATTTCAATGTTTCATATTTACATGCTCGAGATCTTGCTGAGAGATATGTTTCTGAGTTCATGGAGATTGAGAGTACCCGGTCAGTTGTTTTTTTTTAAGACCTCGGAAATTTGAAAGAAAGCTCAGGTTTTATAGCTATTTGCAACCCAAAGGGTACCTTTCAGCTCGTACCCGTCAGCCGCCATTTGCCTTTCTTGGTGCCCTGGAAAAAAAATGAGAAAAACAGGTCAAGTGATCGATTCCCGATAAAACCAACAGGGGAAAATACAACAATTATTCTTAGGCAAATGGAAGTTTCAGCCTCGGAATTCTTTGCATATTTAGACCCCAAAAAATGAAACAACCTTGTGAAAGAAAGCCCAGGTGGTTCTCTATTTGTTTACAACCCAAAAGGGTATGGGCTTACAAAACAACCGGCTGTTTTTGCAGCCCCTGCTAAAAAAGAACAGAACCAAAAAGACCCAACAAAAGTTAACAACTTGCCAACTACAGTGAAGCTAGACCCCAAAAGTCCGAGTTGTTCGGCCAAAGGGCACCACAGGTCAGCCCAGAAGAGCTCTTTCGGGAAAGTCAACCACAGCCCTGCTCGAGTCTACCAATCCAAAACCGGAACCCTGCCAGGACTGGTCCGCCTGCTGAGTTTCTCCGACGACATCCTCCGGAAACTGCACATCCTCGAAGATGTCGGGATGCACTTCCTGCTGCATTGACTCAGCTTCCCTCCAATTAATTAATGATTTCGAATGGTAGTTTTGGAGATTAGTAGGGGTGGTTTCCGATTTACCCTCAAGTTCAACAATGCCAGGGGTTCAAAATCCCCAAACCACCAATCCAAAGCATCAATGGGGGGCAACCTGTGACGGTGCTTCTGATTCGATGCAAGCGCAACACTTACCAGGTTACATGGAACACTTCGGAGATCCACCAGGGTTGGAAATACAGAAGTCAACTGCCATGCCCAAAGTTTAACTTTCAGTGCACTGAGAAAGTTCATGTAATGGTGTGGGTTCATGAACAAAAAGCATTTCGCATCATGAGGTTCCCCACCGTTTCACTGGACAAATGATGCTGCCAATCAGTCAGAGAAGTTTCCGCTGGCAAGGGCTGATTCCATTCCTAGCATCGCCTACCGCACATCCAGCTGCCATCGAAACACCACGGGTCTGTATGCAGAAGGTAATGCTGTGTGGATAAGGTGCGTGCCTCTTTGCCGAGAGCGATGCCGGGTCTGGGGATGTGGAGCTTGAATCTCTGGCGGCATTGATGCTACACTCATAGAGTTGTTTCTGGTTGACGGGTCTAGCGGCTGACTATGACGACTGCGCTTTAATTCTTTGGGCTGGTTGTTTGCAGCTTCTATGGCCGATTTGCCGAAGCGTCTGTGGCCACGTTCACTGCAAACCCCTCGGGCAACACGCGATCAGTTCCGTGCCTGGTAGCGCTCCACAACTCAGAGGCGCAGTGATGTGAAGGTATGGGAGGCGCGAGAAAGAACCGGGGGTATGGGCAAAGGTATTGGTACAGGATGTACAGTACACGTGCCAAGGCACATTCGGCCGTGGACTGGGAGAACAAGAAAGAGAAAGAGAAAGAGAGACACACACACACACATCCACAAGCCAAGCCAAGCCAAGCCAAGAAACAAGCTCACAAACAAACAAAACACAAAGCACAAATTAACAAGCAAGAAAGCAGACAAACAAACAAACAAACAAACAAACAAACAAACAAACAAGCAAACAAGCAAACAAGCAAACAAGCAAACAAACAAGCAAGCAAACAAGCAAGCAAACAAGCAAACAAGCAAACAAGCAAACAAACAAACCCACACACACACACACACGCTGACCGCCTATTGACAATGTATTGCACACTTGTTGGCAATATTGCTGCAAAGTCATGTCACGTGTCTCCTGCGTAAAAAGACGCCTTCTTCTAGTTCTGCCCAACTTGATTTGTCTGACAGGGTGAGCTTACAAGTGGATGTCAGTATCAACCAGCCAATTAAAATCACCTTGTCTTCGTGTTTTGACAAACGAATGCCTTCCCATGAAAACAGCCTTCCGCTTCGGACTTCAGCTCGCCGTTTTTTGTTTTTTCTTACATGGGCGCCTTTAGCGCCTTTAGCTTCCCGATACCCGAGACACGGAACAGCCTCTCCCCTGCAACACGTGATTGAACTGTGGGCTTCGGGCTCCGAGATCGGTTTCTCTCGAAAACAAGCTGGCCAACGAAGCCTTAGCTTTGCAAAAACACACAACAACTAAAAGAAAGGCGCGCTCTTGGCAGCGTTCCATGCCTCGGTTTCCCTTACCGACAGACCAGCGAAGCTTCGTTGAAACTCTGAGCTTTCAGAGCGCCAAAGGTGTCATGCGATTCAGCTGACCAAGCGGTGCCAATCGATGTGTCCAAAGGCAGAGCATTGGACTCAGAAAATGTTAAAAAAATATATGTCATGTCCAAGCTGGTCAAATGCGAATGTCATGTCCATTGGCCAAGTCCATATGTCCAGCTTGGACTTGGAATTGGACTCAGCTTGGATTTGGATTTGGACAATGCTTCTCTTGGAATTGGACTCAGCTTGCGCCTTGAAAAGTGGAGCTGAATCACCCGAGTCCTTTTTGCCCGCCCCGAAAAGTGAGTGCAGCCGCGGCACCAAGCGCAGTCCCCTGAGCCCAGGCTGAACAGATTTCTTCCATTTGGTGAAGACCAATGGAAAAAAATGAGTAAATATGTCCAGTGGTGATAAATCCCTTTTGAAATCCAGGGAAAAGACACACACATATTCTTAAGCAAATGGAAGATTTGGGTGGGAATTTGGATACAAGACCCCAAAGGGCGGATATGGTGGACATCAGAATTCATCAAAATTTGGTGGGGATTCGCGTAACCACCAACCACTCGTGAGGTGGTTCCTATTCGTATGTATGGCATTTTTCAACATGCAGGGATGTGCAATTTACCAGTTCAAACACCCTCGGCTAGATTCCGAACAACTAGGCCAACTATGTATGAGTTAGTTGCAGTACAACTCAGGAATGATTCTATCACGTTGGCGAATCAACGGTCGGATTGGTTTCGTATGTGCCGTTCAATGGATCTGCTTGGTAATTTTTCGGGACCCGTTCAATCCCCCTGGCTGAAAATACGAGCTGCCATCGATGGCACACAAACCCACTCGCAAACCCATACACGCCCCCAGCGAAATGTGACTAACTTTTAGTGGTTTAGTGGAAAAGGTCCTAACAGCCCTTGGCAAAATGCACCAACAAGCTGCTGGAGGGCGCAACGGAGGCGCATGAATGCTCTGCGACCTTTGATTCCTTGCTGGCATACACGGGCATACATGACACACACAGAGAGACATATCGCAAAGTTGCATTCTGTTGGGGAAGAAATTGTTGGCCTATGCATCCTATCAGTGTGATTCGAGCAGTCCAACTTGCCAACGCTTCGTCGCAAAACGGGAAGGTTACATACCAACCTGGAACCTAAATGTCGGAATGCAGCAGTGCAAGACAAGCAACGCACTCCCACAAGCGGCTGTGCTCACTGAGAGGCAAGCACCTCAAAGCAAGCTACACAAGCACCACCGCTACGGCGGCATTCACTCCAAAAAGGGGCCATCTTGACAAACGCCCAAACCTAAATGCGTTTTTCCAAGCGAGCATCGCCTCATTTTCTTGGGTGAATTTGCTTGGTGTCGTCAAGCGCCTGGGGGCTTTCCAAGGTTCGTGGCAGACTAAGGTGCCACCTCGGCCGTGACCAGTGAATTCTCAGAGTGCCGTTGTTCTCGGGGTACCTTCCATTTCCATTCTTTCCAGGGATCCGGATCTTTCTAGAAAACCTCCGGAAACCGGAAAGGGAAAATGGAAAGAACGATGGTTGAAAATAATGGAAAGGGAATCAACCCCTGATGGCTTTCCTGGGGAAAATGGCTGGTTCCCCTAGATATATTCCTCGTCAGGGTCCAGCCAAAGTTTCGATGGAGATCGAAGCGAGAAGATCAACCCTCAGAGTTGTGAGTGAGTGAGCGGTGAGTTGGCTTCGAGCTTCTATGGCAAAACCTCACCCCTCACCCCCAAAAAGCGCGATGATGCGAGGCCTCATCCGGCACCTCGTCCTGAAGGCGGGGCGGCTCGTGAAATTGGTTTCGCAAGATCCGACTCAAAAAATCGCGCCATGCAACCCGGGAAAGCCACTAAGGTCTGTTAGTCTTTGGCTTGGGGAGTCAGATCAGAAACTAGGGTTTCGGAGAACTTTGGCGCGAAATGAAGGTTTCATCCACAGTGCCTCCGTTTTTGAGATGCTGCTTTCGGTTGACTTAAGTGTGTAAAAATCAAATTGCAGCGTCCGAATGACTCTGTAAGGCGAGCGCCTAGGATTATGTTTTGGACCTCTGCAGACTTTTTGGAGCTAAAACAACTTATGTATGACCAGAACCTCCCCATGCGTGTGTCCGTTTTAGGGATGCCCAATGTTTGTAGTTTTGACTCGAAAACCAAAAGGACTCTGCACCATTTTGGGGGTCCCCTAACAAAAGAGACACACCCACATTGCAAACCTCAGGAGATGCCCGTGCGGGTAGGATCTCGAACGCATCATTCAGAGAAAAAAACACTTCTGAACACACAGCAACTTGCACTGCAAAGTGCCTTCCGTCTACCCATAGGGATGCCGAACATCGATTGCGCTCGTGGCGCAAGAAAGTGTCTGTTTGTCGACTGCACGTTAAAAGCCCCTCCTCGTCGCGATAAGGCTCCTCCTCGTCCTCATCAGCAGACATGTCGTGACCTCAGAGAGAGCTTGCACTAAGCTGGAGCCCCTTGGGTGTAGGGTGGATCATTAGAAACCCGCGGGAAATTAACGGGATGCCCAACAAGCAACTCAACAAACATCCAGCTGGTGACACCAGCTGGAACCTCCGGTTTCGGGTTTACTCGAAGCAGGCGCAACTTGAGCCACTGGGCGACTGAGCCCAGTGCAACTGCTCCAAGCCCTCGCCCAACCACCCCAAAAGGAGCCAAAGGTCTTTAGACCTTTGGAGTCGGTGCCCCCTTTTTGGG